AAAAATCTATTTATTTTAGTTCAAAGATATTTAAATATCCCGTTATTTAAGATGATTCATTGTATAGCTTTTCACTTATAATGGCCATCCTAACATATCAGACGGAGAAGGGGGCTTGAATTAGACCAGTCGATTGATGGATTGATGCTCCAGACCCGGTAGGTCTAGGGTTTGAAACAACGGGATGAATCGTTTACTGGACTCGAGTCATAGCGCCCGGCCCAGTTGCAACAATTGGGTTCAGTTTCTACTTTCTACAACCTATATATATGTATCGCTATAGATCCATTTTTAACATGTGGAATACCCAAAAAAAAATAATAACATGAAATAGATGAGGATGAGGTAGCAGCCCTTACTCAATGTCATTAGTGTGGGTCCAGGTGGCAAAAAAAGTTCATTGTCTTACCCTATCTAGAAGTATATAGATGGGCCTAGCTCTCAAATGTCAGCCCACAACTTGCAAGAAAATCCACGCTGGCTTCATACAATTCCTTCAAAAAAAAAGCAAAGTGAGGTTTTAGTATTTGAACAAGTTGATGAATTAAATTCCTCCACCTTATTGGATAATGGGCATTCATTATTCATACCAAGGTCAAGATGGTATTTTTGGAACCCAGACGCACCTTGATTTAATATTATATAATCTTAAACTTTGTGCGACATCACATCTTCCGTAGTCGTCTCTCCTATCGAGTACCAACGTATAGTTCTAACTTCAAAGGACTGATGAGCCTACAAGCATAGATTTGAAGCAGTAGATTAGACGGTAAATCGGTAATATTGTTAGACAAGTATAGGAAATCGACAAGGAAGAAGGAAGGAATCACTTCTTCTCACAGATATATTTATGGTTTGTTACTTTACTTGCTCGTTCTTCTTTTACTTTGCCAATTTCTACTGTAAACTCCCTTCTTGAGCAACTTCAATCCAACGGTATTCTCTTGCTTCCCAATGGGCCATGGATTTATAACATGTGAGAGTTGAGAGCTGATTTTTAAGGCATAACCCGTAATCAAATAGTTCTTATGAGGGTGACATGAGCTAATTTCGACGGGTTGGCACATGGTTTACATTTGATTTGGTCTTTTTTCTTTTTCTTTTTTTTGTCGAGTTCAGACTTAGATTATTTGAATCACCAGTGGGTTTGCACATAGAATAAACGAAATCTAACGATTTCCTAGAAAGCTGATATTTTAGGGTGTTTGGTTGCATGGAAAATGGTTGTATTCTGTATGCTTGTTTTCAAAAAGTTAGTAATTGTAGTAAAGATAGCATTCCTTGTAATTTTTTTTTTTTTTTTTTTTCTGTAAGTCATTTTTTTTCCATGTTGATTCCCACGATTGATCATGTCTTGCAATATTTAATATAAGTCAATATTTAGGTTTGTTTTCTTAGATGATAAGCCAAGCACTAACTTGTAGACTTGTAATTGTAGCATGGTTTTCGAACCATCGTTGATTTGGATGGTTAAATCATTTGGTCTGAAAATCATTCAGAGACATGGTTACGTTTCACCCTTAACCTATATTTTAGTCAAAAATTATTGACTTGAGCGGTCAAACTGTTGACCCACTCGACTCAGAGAAGACTGCTTTTATTTTAATTATTATTTTTAAATTAAAATAGACCATCCATTTGAATAGAACAGTCGAACCACCGACCTAAAAACCAATGGTCACAACAGTTGTGATTCTGAATTGATTTCATTCCTTTTTTCTTATACAGATATATCTTATTTTTCGCTACAGAAATTTCCTTAATTACTTAAAAAACTTTGACTATAAAACGGTGGGTTCAAAACCCATTCATCTTCAATATTGGACCCGTAACACCATGCAGCCGAGGCATGAGCTAATCCATTAAATTATCTCTTAACATGAGAGAAAGAAACAGAATGTAAACCAGATATTTTTTACTTAGCATCCAGAAGAAGATATATCTTGCTCTGAAGAAAATCATTCAAGGAATAATTAGAATAAGTTGGTGGGGTTATGTTTGGAGCGTGTGTCGATAGCCAACACAACATGCGCAATTCCGGTCATAATTGGCTACTCTACTGCCCAGTGCCCACACAATAACAAGTGCATACAGCAACAGGGCAAATATAGGGCCCCATTCCTCAGTGAACATAATACAAGAAATTTATGAACCCTTTTGACGTGAAGCAAATGCTAATGGAATCCAGACGTACCTACCTGTAACTTGGAGGCTTCTTGTGGCCATAAGAAAGAAGCCTTTGTTGATTTTAGAAGCCACATTTAAATTTCTAAGTCTTAAGGATGCGTTTGGCTGTAGTATAAATCTGAATCACATATAAATTTTGCACCCATTACAAACAAAGATAAGGTTATATCTAAAAAGCTAACAAAAGTATTAAAGCAGAATTTACACTCGGCCTATTGCATTTTCATACATTTACACCAGTACAAATGAATTGCAACCAAAAGGAGCTTAACTAGCAATTTAAGAGGCTCCATCAAAGCATTTATGCCATTACATCTCGCCTACCGACCAATGTAGCCATATAATTAATGTGTCCTTGCTTAGTCAATTGCGGCTCCCCACTCATGTATTAATTAAAGAGAGAATGACTGTTCAGCCCAATAATCCACTTCAGAATTCTTAGTCCTACGGTACACATAGATTGATATCAAATCTACAGGCATGATGCGATGCTACTAATAGATTATTAGGATTGTAATTTCAGAATTCTATAGTTGTTCTCTTAATTAAACATTTCTCTTTCTCCTAACCATTTTTCTCCTTAATCAAATTATGCAAGTTGATGAGGTAGTTAGTGAATTGGGCTTGGGTTGGCCTGCCATGTGGAATATTAGAAAAACGATATATGGCCGAATTGAAGTCGACACGTGCCAAGAGCTCGGATGAGTCAAGAGGCAATGATGTGCTACACTTCCATATGATTTGCAAGCTAATATGTCATTGGTACACACTGCAAATCCTGGATGACGTAAAGACACGTGGCAGACACCAGCCAAGCCCATCTAGCCGCCAAGGTTCTTGATTAAATGTATAAGTAGAGAATGACCCCGTACTAAGCACGGGGTAAAATGTGTGTATAATTTAGTTATCAAAAATTAAATTAAAAAAAAATAATATGGGTATTGTATCTTTGTAATTGACAATCTATTCTGACCTATTTTATTTGAGAGCCATTATTAATTTATGTTTTTTTTTTAATTTGATTTAAGATACTAAAGGAGATCTTATTCGTAAACAGTAACCCACTTTTATTCGGTATTTATTATTTATCTAATAAATCTATTTTGAGTTATTTATTTTTAAAAGTTAAATTAGGTTGCTTCCTAAAAGTTAAATCATGTTTGTAATTAATGGTTCCCACCATTTGTATTTAATAGACTATGAATAAACATGTATTAAGCTAATAAGTAATTGTTTATTGAGAATATTTAGGAGTGAAACTACCCACTTTTTGAATCCTATTTCTTGAATTAATAGGATGCCACCTAAATGTTGGTAGTGGGTTGTGGGCTTTAGAAGGAATTTTTAAAAAATTGCCACGTCCCTAACAACTCGAATGGTGATTACTTTGAAAGTTGACACGTGTCCCATGAACAAAAAACACAATGTGATAGGAGTAAGGTTTAGCTGAACGCTTTGGTTGTTTAACTGGCTGTGGAACCAATGATGACGTTTCATGCCAGTAATAAAATGCACGGGGCCCACATCTTTCACAATGGGGCCCACTAATTCATGTGATAGTCTCTTTGCTCTCTACCTAATAAAATTACTCTAAGCTCACTTGCTCTCTAAGCTCTTCAGTTTGTTCGATTAAGTCTAGCTCATCTTAACTAGTTCGGCCTAGCCAACTACCCTATAACCCTATTGCTCTTATTAACTTGAGTGTTGAGGTACTACTCGAGAAACCACCTCTCGTCTCATTTATCTCAAGCAAACATTATCTCAAGGTGATGTTTGGTATGGCTTCCATTTATTTGAAAAATGTTTGTATTTTATTTATTTTCAAAACCAAAAAAAAAATGATTGATAAACATTTTTCGACTTACTTGATTGTTAGGCGCCATTATATGTCATTAGGCACCATTAGACGTCACATATGCATAACAATAAATAAACACTAAAATGAAGTTTTCCCCAATGGTTGACTTATACAAAAATTGAGACAAACATTTATTTGATAAGCAGACTTACCAAATAATATTTTGGAACAAACGCCCACATGACAATGAACTTGCATTGTTTTTTAAATAAACAGAAACCATACCAAACACCGTCAAATATATGTATAAAATGTTTAAATTTTATATTAAAAAAATCAAAAAACAAAGCTTTTCTATCAAGTTATAGATCCATCGCCCAAGTCCCATATTTTCATTCTCTATCTGTTTCTTTTCTTTTCTTTTTTTTGTAAATTTACGAGGCAACTGGGTCTCATGATTTTGAAAATTGGACCAGATTGGAAGGTCAGACCAGTTCATCCGGAAACCGGTTATGTCTCCAGGTCAACTGGACCCCAGAACTGTTTGACTGAGGTTCAAACCAGATGACCAAGCTTCCAAATTCATCTCTTGCTGGATAGAAATTCCATCAATCAATCTATAATAATAATAGGTAGCATGCATATCTTTTCTTTTCTTTTTTTTGTGATATCTTCTGAAGGGCTATTCAACGTGGGTAATCCATACCCAAACCCATAACCACCCAACCCAGGTGCAGCGACAAATGAAATCAAAATAAAAAGTTCGTAAGGCAATTTGCATTACAAGAATGAAAATAAATTTTTTCATTGTAACTCAACAATTTGTTGACGTTCCCCTATCAATCCTCGCTCTAAAACAAGAATGAACGCTCTGACACCATTCAATTAATTAATAAATTCACGAGGTCTGTTTCTTTATCCTCCATTTCAGCATTTCATATATAATTTCTCTCTCCTTTAAATAACTCCGCCCTGTGAACTCTTCTTGTCTATATACACTAACCCAATCTAAATCTTTAAGTAGATAATTTTAGAAGTCATCATCTGAATCAGTGGAACTCGAAGAGGAGGTCCTAGATTTATCAGACATGAAGTGCGGTGGCAATTGTGGAAATTTCACCATAATCCTCTTTATGGGTGACATTTGTGTTGGTGTATGAGAGCTCTCTATCTTCTTCCTCTGCAACTCTTGAGTAATGTCTATACATGCCTGATCAACCATGGCAAGAAAATCTTTAATTATAACAAATAACTGAAGTGGGTGAGCCCCTTTGTCCTTCGAATACCCTGCCTGGTAATACTCCGTTGTTCTCTTTACAAGCTCCATTACCCTGGTCTGTTCCCTTTTCAACGCCTTAACCTCTTCTTCAGCTCTATCCAAGAACCCTTTCATCTCCCTCACAAACCCACCTCCCTCGTTGATACTGCATCTCTCAAAAATCTCCCGAATTTCGACAATGCGGGCTGTTAGAACGGAGCATGTTTTGATGCAGGCATCGTAGTCTATTGCCGCTGATTTCTTTACGTTATAAAACTCAACGCTTAGTCCTCCAACCACCGGCAACCCATGCATTATATATTCCCTTTGTCTTTCTTCTTTTGCAGCTGAAGCCTCGGAGCTCCCACTACCATTGCTGCTGCTGCTGCGACTGTAACTTCTGCCGAGGCTGTGATTCCTGTTGATCACACAGCGTTTCCCTTCGCTCCGAACTACTTCTTGCACAACAAAGTGGAGGAGCGTAGTCTTGCCATCTGTGCTTTTAACGTCTGAGAGCTTTCGAAGCGAATTAAGGTTGAACGCCTGGGCATTCCCTCTTGCTGTTCCAGCATTCATGAGATTGCCTGCCTTAAGGATGGCTTCTAAAAGTTTGAAGAAAAGCCCACGAGCTCGTAGCTCCTTGCAAGCCAATTCAAGCGTCTGTAAGGACTCTTTCAACTGGAGGATTTCTGGTTCGTAGTTTAATCTGAAAAGCATTGCGTTGAGACGAGAAAAGGCGGAGGGAACAGCTTTGAGGATGTCGAAGAGGAAGGATTCTGCGTCGGCAAGCTTGCTGGGATTGCCGCTGAATCCAAGTAGACGGGCTTCTTCTTCTTTAGTTGGGGCAATTTTGGTAAGCTTTTCAAGGGTATCAGCACTAAGGCCACGACCCTCAAGGATGGAATCAAGGATCTCTTGGCGAGAAATGGCGAGAGATCTAAGCACTATCGCTTTGTTTTGGGATTTCCGTGGGTCGAGGATGAAGGTGCGCGCAGGCTGACCGGAGTTGGAGCTACTCGGATCCGTTGACGTCCTGGTTCTTTCAGGGGATTTCCGGTTGGTGGCAACACTACCGAACAGGGCTTCCATGAGATTGTCGTCAAACCTGTAGAAGAAATATGGATTAGTGTGATGACTTGCTCATCAACCTACCTTAAAAGCAAAAGAACAATAGATAGACGTTTTAGTTTTAATTATACCGGAATGAGCCTTCACTCATCTTGTCCCACACCATAGAGTGCTCGGCATTAGCCGCCACCTTATCCCAGTGTAAAGGCTTGAGTTTCACTTGGCTAGAGCTTTTCTCCTTCGTGCTCTCTTCTGATTTAGTCTCTGCACGTGTACTTTTGATCGATTTCCCTCTTGGCGGAGGAGGAACTTTGGACGATGAAGCAAAACCTCCCGGCTTAGGTGGTGGCGCCGGTGGTGCTGGCGTTTTCTTCAGCGGTACTGGTGGAGGAGGAGGAGGAGGCGCTGCAGGACTCTTCTTCGCTGGAATCGCCTCTGAATTTTGCGGCCGAGGAGGAGGAGGAGGTGCAGGACTTTTCTTCGTTGGTATCGCCTCTGAAGTTTGCGGAGAAGGACGAGGAGCGGGAGGAGGAGAAGGAGGAGGCGCTACAGGGCTTCTATTCGCTGGAATCGCCTCTGAAATTTGTGGAGGACGGGGAGGAGGAGGTGGTGGTGGTGGCGGTGATGTTGATGACACAGGTGGGCGCGCTGATAGTGGATGTGGTGACGGCGGCGGTGGTGGTAATGAAGGTGGGGGCACTGATGCCGGAATTGGTCTAGGCGAGGGTGTCGATACTGGAGGTCGCGCAGGTGAGGCTGCTAGCAGTGGAGGAGTTGGTGGTGGAGTTGGCGACGGTGGTCTGTCCACTTCGTGTAGAGGAATCCAATCATATATGGGTGAGCTAGCCTCTTCTCGACGTGGATCTCGTGTTTCCCGCCTAATTTCCGAAGAGGAAGCTGAAGAGCTCTCATGAAGCAGAGGAATTTCCTGAATTGGTTCAGTTCTCCTGCGTCGCTCTTGTTTACGGGCGTCCAATTCTTCTTCTCCATCGTCGAGCTGTTGTCTGACCTTACGGAAACTTCTCTTTTTCTGTCCACCCTCAAGCTTCCTCCAATACAACACATCCAATCCATTCTCATCAACAATCACCCCTTTAAGATCATATCGCCTGAAATCATCACGGGAAACCACAACTTGATCGCGACGAAAAACCGTCTGGTTTTGGTCATCACGGCGGCGAAGTCGTTTGATGGTATATCTTTGAAGGAAAAAGAAGAAGACCCCGGCAACAACAAGAGTGCAGGCAGCAGTAATTGCGATGGCCTTAACGACTGTTTGCGTGTGCAAGTGCGAGGGTGGGTTCACTGGGGTCGGTGGTAACGATGTCTCATTTACCGACAGACTGGTAACGTCGTTCGTAGAATTGAACGTTGGAGTCGGAAAGAAAGTTTCGATGTTCTGCGGAGGATTCGGCTGAGAAGAAGAGAAGGGAAGAAAAGAAAACAAGAAAAAGAAATAGAAAGTAGAAGGAAGAATCCATGGCCGAACCATTACACCCGTAAAACCTAAGGCGAAGTTTGCAGAGAAGATTGAAACAGAGTGTCATTTCTTCTACATTTTTGGGTTAATAATTTCGAGTTTTCGTTGCTGACAGTTTCAAACAAGAGTGGTTGTTTGTGAATGAGTATTTTTAAGATTCTTCCGGGGCCTTTGAGCACTTGATATGACACATCTGTCCTCATGGTCACCGGAATCTGCAAACTCAGCACAAACAATGGCTGAATGGCATTTGGGTAATTTGAGAGTTTGAAAGTGAAGCAAAGAAATGGTCGGGGCGGTAGTTGTGAATCACTGAATTGTGATGATGGGTTTGGTCCGTCCGACTCCTTACTCCTACCCCGTCTGATTTGTAGAGGACGACTTGAAAAGCGTTGAACGGGTGTTTGATGGATTTTGAATATAAGACTTGAAGATGAACTGCTGCAGCGTTTGATCAGTATTAAAAACTATTAATTAGAAAAAGGATATCATGCCACGTAAGTTTAAAATCAAAAGTCATAAGGTAGACTCCCAATCATCCAATTTTTTTTTTTTTTTTTTTTTGCTACAAGGAAGAGATTATTCAAATATATGTGATTGTTTGTAAGTTCGGGCTACTGCAAATGAGGCCATTCAACGATTACCTAATCTGCCATCAAGATTACCAGGTCAGCGTTTGTAGTTGTGACTCAACCTGGGGCTAAGATTCTTGAAAATTTTAGCCCAAAAAAAAGGGACCTGTGACCTACTCAAAATCGGCAACTGAAGGGGCCCACGTTTAAAGGTAAACAAGATAAGAGTTCAATCAAGGGCCAACCGCCCCAGGTTCGTTACGCTAAACGAGTTGGGCTAATTAAGTTTTGGGCTTTTTGCACAAAATTATGCTTAATTAAACAGGTCAATGTGGTACACATATAAGGCTAACAATGATCAAAGTCTTGCTGTTTCAACCAAATTTTGGCCGAACCGGGTGGGTTTGGGATACCCAGATCAATATTATTATTTTCTTCTCGTATGAAACCATGAAATACATTATTCATCGGTCTTTGAAAATTTATTTTTAAGAAGTAAAAATAAATTAGACATGTGACCTACTCAAGTTTCTTCTTGTATATAATTAAAAATGTACGAAAACAAAAATAAAAATAAAATATGTATCTACCGGTTGTAGATGGAATGGTCCCCCCTCTCAACCACATTTCAACTGCATTTAAGATTTAAGAGTTAAGACGACCTAAATGGCCACGCCTAAAGAGTGTCGTCCAAAATCCGTAGTCATCCCACCGATATCTGCAAGGCTGGGTCTGCTTTGATGTAACAAAAGAGAGAAACAGAAGATTGAGGATCGAGGGAAAGTAATTCAAACGTGGCTAGATATATCTTAGGCTGTACCGCTGTATCAAACCACTCTTAACTCTCTAACACAGTAACACAAGGTTCTCTTTCGTATCATTGCTGTTTCTATTGGAAATGGGGTTTAAAAAAAAAAACATTTGAGATATATCGATATACATATTTTTGAGAAATTATATTGTCACATCATATCAGATTACTAATTCCACGAAAAAAAAATGTATCAATTGGACTAGTGTTAGCATTAATGATAGAAACATCAAATTAGGAGTTTCATGAAGTGGGTAAACTGGCTGTGACCCAGGTTGGGCTTTGGGCTCGATATTACACTGTTCAGCCTTGGACTTTAGACAAGCCCATTCAATTATTCACGTTTTGGTAAAAACTAAATCGAAGCCCAGCCCATCAACAGGTAGGAAGTCACTTTTTGATTGACTAAATAGACAACCACTTTTGAAGCGAAAAAAAAAAAAATAAGACAGCCACTTGGATACTTACAAATATAATTTATATAGGGATTGTGACTTGGTAGTTATGCCACCTATTCTCAAGGAGCATTTATTGGGTATGGTATGGTGCATGCATTTGAGTACTGTCTCCTATGTCTTATTTTGAAGAAGATTGCTGACCTGAACCTCCCCTCTTGCCATGTTTGAAGATTAAAAACTTCGGTTGCTATGGGAATGGGATCGTACCTTTTCGGCATCATAGTTTTTCTCATGTGTGTATGCATTATCCAATGACAATTTTATGTAATTTTCTTTTATTATATTTTTAAATTAAACTATAAATTTATGAAAATGCAAAATATGAATAAGAATACCTTGAAACCCAACCAGGTTTGCCGAATTCAGGTTTTACTGCAGGTTGGGGTAAGCCTGAGATTAAGGTCCGGGTCTTAGAGTGGGGCTTTAACTGGGCCAAACCCATTTACCAATTATATACAACAGGCCCAACCGCACAACCAAGTAATCTGCCTACTCGGGCATCCTCACCTACTAAGAGGGTTGAGGTGCCCTCTCAAATATCAATTGCCGTGTGACTCATCAATCATAAGAAAAGATTCGGGCCCATCGTCAAATGGATCTATCCAAGTAAAATTTCGACAGAATTTGAAAATTGTAGCTGAAAAAGTATGTCATTGATGGTCCAATAGAATCCGATTCCTCCGTAAAGAAGTATAAAGTTGCAATACTTAATAGAGGACCCACTCGATGGTAGGTTGGTAGGTCCCCGTCCGTCATGCCAACACATCGGCAGACGGCAGCTCAAGAGACATCTCGTCACTCTTGCAACGAGGACACTCACATTGAAACACTACAAAAAGAATCTAGGGAAGACTTCCAAGGGGATGATTTTAGAGTTAGTGTAGTGGGTAGAGGTGGAAAACATGTTAGTAATGAATTGATGATACACACAGAAGTCCGGATTACCTGCCAACAAAGATGTTTCAATACTAGGGGTGCAACTTGGGCGGACTCAGCCCAAGCCCGAATCATCCCAACCTGGAATATTATACACGCTGAACTTGGATTTTCGGTCCTCGGGCTGGGTTTGGGTCCAAGAAGTCGGGCTTTTCTATTTTCGGGGCCGGATTCAGGCCTATCCTTTAGATAGCCTGAACCCGGCTCAATTATATACATTTTTGTACATAGATATATGTATATATGTAAATATTGCATACATATATATATATATACACATACATATTTGCATATATACATAAGAATGTTTATATATTTTTTCATAAATACATTTATATATGTATAATTTTAGAGTGGGTTCATTGACTAACCAGAGCCCGACCCGGACCTAAGCCCAACCCAAATGCATCAAATTACAGGGAGGACTGGACTCGGATTGGGAAAATCAGGCTTGACCTCAGGATCAGGCCTTAAACCCAAATTTCAGGACCGGGCCTGGGTTGACCATAAACCCGACCCAACTGCCCGACTTGCACTCTTATCCAATACCCTGCCAACATGATCTGATACTACACATCTCATATATGGCGGATCCCAGTCTCATGGTGAGAGATGTGCGATGTAAAGATCATGTTGGGAGAGTGTTGGAACGTCTTCTGTTGGCAGGTGATCCCAATTATAGTAATAGATCCCCCACCGTGGTCCATGTTTGGGAGAATCCTAAGCTTACTTAACATGAAAACATGCATGGATTAGGTGGAAATCTTCAGATGCTGCATTGTTTCATGCCAACCTAGTAGAATACAACTTATACAAGTACTGTTGAGTAGTGTTATTATAAAAAAAAAAAAAAAAAAATCAACTTTTTAACATTAAGAAGGCTTCTGTTTAGACCTTTAGCGAGGGAGAGGGCCATGTCGATGTCCCCCTTTCATGGTTCGTAGCTAGAAAGTAATAAAGATAATTTTGTAAGGGTTGAATATTGTTTTTAATTTTACATTGAAAAGCAAATTAAAAGAGGTGAACAAGATTTTGCAATTAAAGGGGTAGAAATAATAGTTGAAAGGTTTCAGTATAAGAAACGCACTTCCATTTTACAAGGAAATGACACACTCGTATGTTAGTTTTATATAGACAAGCAAAAAGGCTAATAATAGTAATACTACATTTGCAACTGATATTAATAATGGACAGAAATTCTCTTTTTAGTTTTCCGTTGGAACAGTGGGGGGATCCGCTTTATATAAGCAAATAAATAGAGAGATGCACAGGGATTGAATAAAGATGGGGTATAGCCGTATAGGGATTTAGGATTGGGGGTGGACCATATTGAATTGAATGAATCCCTGGATTGGATTTGAATTCAATTCCAGTTTGGAGTTGAGCTTGTGGAAGGAAATAGGAATCAATGGAAATGACTTTTGTGATTGGGAATGTGTTTAGGTATTAGTTGTCGTGGGTTTTGGACAGTGCAGAAAGCCATGCATGGATTATGGGTAGGTATACATAGTGCCATGTAACCGCTTCCAAATGACAACCTCCCCTCCCAGTATCAGTATGTGCACACAGAAGAAACCCGTGTTCATGTTTTCTTTTGTCCTGTCATGATATAAGAGGTTCATGTGTTGAAAGTTGAAAATATAGGCCCCCATACCACAACCATGAATCTTCTCACTTGCAAGTTTCTCTACTTTCAAGGTTCCCAAACATATACAAGAGTCCAGCACAAGATATCATAATTGTATAGCCGTATTCAAATGTAGCATATGGCATTTTTGTAAGTCCGGATTCGTGATAATAGATCCACCAATACTGATTTGTTCTCTCTCCAACAAACAATGTCTGAAACAATGGACCACTTCCTGAATCCTGATTTCGTCAGAGTCCTATTATAATCCGAATCAATTAATAAATTAGGCAAACCTAACCAGCTGGTCCAGCTCTTTAACTCAAGGAACCCTACATGCATACAACCCCCATCCTTGGCCAATCGATTGGCTAATTTGTCCTGCCAAACTACAACAAGCAAAAACGCCAAGAGACCATTATGGGCTACAAGTCACTCACTGAACAGACCCCTTCTGCATCTATTGGCCCTCCTATAACTCTCTACAGGTATTACGTTCCAGTGTTTACAGCCTATGAACGAAGACCCTGCGTTAAAACCATGACTGGGGCACAACTCTTGGCTGTTGGACCTTGAGACAACCAACAACCCACCCTATTACAAGTCCAGTAATCCTATTCCTATCCACAACCCGATCGGCTTAACTATTCGGTTCCTTTCCCTTCCCAAAAAGAAAAATGTAGGAAGTTCAATTGAGATTAGTGAAAATTTAAAAAAAAAAAGGCAACACTTAATAGTGTGAACTGTATGTAATTAACCCAAAATCAATGGTACACATGGCTAGAAATTATCTAAAAAACCTACAATAAAAAGAAAAAGAATGGGAAGAGTTATTCGCTGCTGGCTACTTTAGCTCGTCTTGATGGTGACTCCGGCGACGATGGAGATGACAAGGTGAAGGTGGACGTGGACGATGAAGAGGGTGATGACGACAGGGGCGATGATGGTAGGGATGAAGGTCCATCTTGCAATTTCCTCTTGTAGGACCATCTGGGTTCATTTTCCTGACCCTCCTCTCTCGTTAAATTATGCTTCAGACGCTTCACGTCCGACAACTTTACTGGCTTCACTATAAATTCCTCTGCCCCTTCTTCTAAACATCTGTTCAAACAAACACAACCAAAAGTAGTTTGTTAATAGTTGTATTCCATGTCTTATCATCCACTAGCTCTACAGAGCACACAAGTTCAAACAAAACCATCAAAACAAAATCCGAAGCAGCTTGATCACTAGATCATCTTTATGAATTTTTTCTCAAAACAGAGCTAAATGACTCCATTTTCTTTTTTAGTAACGCTTACTCGGTCTTTTTAAAGCAGAGTTGATGCTTTTAAACTCTTGAACGCAAGAAAGGAGAGAAGAGATTAAGAAAACAGAGGATAGGTAGAAAATACCTGTCAATCCGAGCCAATACGTTTTCAGACGACATGATCACCACAGGTACCTCTCTGAAGGTCGAGGATTCCTGCTTTAAAAATGTAAATAAGTAAATAACGAATTTGATGTTCTTTCTCTGTTTTGAAGCCGGCAGAGTATGATTCAAAAGAAAATTAAATCTAACCTTTATTTTCTTGAGCAGCTCATATCCGGTCATCCCAGGCATACAATAATCGGTGATAACCATATTCACCTTCAACCCCTACAATTAGAAACGAAATAGGTAAACCTCTAAAAACAAAACAAAATCTAATGAGAAACCATACAGAGCCATGATCAGCTAAGTTCACTTACATCTAATCCAACAGAGTTCTCCCCATCCAAACCTAAAAATTGCAGAGCTCTCCTTCCGCTATCCACCGCGGTAACTGAAGATTTCAACAACTTAGGTATTAGCCAACTAAAACAAACAGCGACAAGTATGAAGAAGAACTAAACACCATTCGGAGGAATTGAAAAAAGGAAGAGAACATCTGCAAGAGACCTTTACAAGAAGAGATCTTGAGCAAGCGTTCGATGACTTTACGATCAACGAGGCTATCATCAACTGCAAGAACGTGTAGCCCTTCAGACTCCACCATCGAAGGCGAGGGATCCAAATCTTCAACCACCTCTAGAGAAGGATCCAAGTCTTCGAACTTTTCCGGCCTCTGTCGCCGGGAAAAAACATTGCTTCTAGCCATTCAGTCGAATTTCTGCCGAATCTCGTTAGGGAATCTCTTCTTCTTTCGCGGAGTCTTTCTTCTTCGAAAACGATGAGAACAAAAGAACCACCCTTTGGCTCCCTCCTTTTATACACTAGGATTACGTCTCTGTCCTTGTCTCTCTCTCTCCCCCACTCACACTTCCAAATCTCAATCTTCTCTCTCCCTTTCCAAAACAAATCTGAATTCTGCTTTTTTTAAAGCAAGGTGAGATTCTGAAATCCACTTTCTTCCGATCTGCAAATCCACCCAAATTCTCTCTCTTTCTGTTGTCGTCTATTCTTCGACTCCGTATCACTTGACACGTCATCACAAGACCAAAAAAATATCTTTTCTTTCCAAATAAAAAAAAAAAAAAAAACATTTTTTCGATTGAATTTGAAAATCTCGAGCTAAACTCGCAAGAGAGAAAGATCAAGTTTTTGTGTATGTACCGACTCACCAAATTAAAATATCAATTTCCCGCGTGAAAATCCAAAAAAAAAAAAACTTGAACGGACTTTCTAATTTTCTTTTTGAAATGGCCCCCACTATTAGAGATCGATGCATTGCTGGACGATTGAGATCGTCATATAGGAAACCGAGACTTTATAAATTCCGTACGTCTAAAGTGTGGAACCTTCTTTCCATATATGGCATATCGCGATAAATTAAAGATCGTTGAACTATTGAAGTAACAAGTAAAGTAAGTGATTCTAGCACAAAAATAAGGAAAAAGATTAAAAACAAAAAAGAGAGGGAAGAAGGGATGATGTTTTTTGGGTTTTTTCGACTGGAAACTGGAAGTGGTCCCATCCAGTTGGGTGGCTCAATTAACAGCAATGTTGACCTGCAGTCAATCGAAGACCGCGCCGTCAAATCCCGGTTGACACGACCTCGTTCCGACACGGAAGTCGGAACCAAGGCGATCGGAGGCTCGAGCCTCGATCCCGTCTGGGCACGGCAGCCGAGTCGAACGATGGTAAAGGAAGGGGAACCCGTTGCTTTGCCGGTGACAGACAACCTTCGCCGTAACCAACGTAAGACGTAAGACTGGCTGAGCCGGTGCCGGGGGTTGATCGTAGCATCCGAGAATGATATAGCTGGACCCCACACCCCCACTTCTCTAGAATTAATGGTCAAATAGTAGAGATTTGGGAGTTCCAATGCAATCGAAAAGCGGGTCCCACAAACGGAGGCTTCTATTTCTTTCCGTGGAAAAATTAAAAAGGACAAGATCTCACGAAGATCGCTGGAATAGTCACTGTGACAGATTTTCACCTGGCTCATCAAAATCATCCTGTTGATCTCGTAAAACCCCCGCCCCCCCCCCCCCCGGGAGTTTTTGGTTGCTGATGAAACCTCCTCTGAATTTTGTTAATTGAAATCACCTCCCCAGCTCCCCTCAAATTAATGAATTATGGACCTAGTTGCAATTTGGCCTCTTTTATTCGAGTCCTTTAAAATAATTATAAAAATGTTCAAAATAGCTATGCAGCTAGTATTGATAAAAATGTTTTTTCTAAATTTTTTTTTTCATATGAATGGCTTGTTCAAACTCTTTCGACCTCTTTTTTGAATTTGATATATTTTTTTAAATTTATCGTTAACTTTAAATTTCTTATTTTTTTAATTCATAAAATTTGTAAAAAGTAATTAACTTTAACAATAATTACATGGGTATCTTAGATATTTTTGTGCCTGATTCTAATATAAGGAATTAACTTGCAGCTGTATTAAAAAGCTCCAGGAAATAATTATAATTATTAAAATTTTAAGAGGGGTTTTAACAATAATGAAAAACTTCAGGGGAGGTTTCGAAAATTTACTTTAAAATTGGATGAATGGAGCCCACCACCACGCAATTTAAGCAAAGGAGTGAGGAAGAATTCGAGTGGCAGAGGATTAGTAACCAGAAAGTGAATTACTGAAGATGGAGATGACAACACCGTTACACCGAGGAGCGAGAAGTCATCCTTCCTCCCATGCGCCCATGCCATCTCCTCCGGTGTTTCTTACCTCCCTTCCGATTCCAAATTTCCAATTCCCCAATTACATTACATGAGATGAGATGAGAAGAGACCCTTCTTCTTTGTTGACAAGACGTAACGCGTTACGTCTTTCGTCTTCTCATTTCCCTTCTTTCTCCTTTTTACATTTACAAATTTTACACTACGTGGAAATTGAAAAGAAAGAAAAGAGTCGCGCGAATTGCAATCGCTTCCCGGCTAGTCATTACCTTCCGAGTTCCGAAGAAGAAAACGACGAGACGTCACGGAAATATCGGGGCTATCTTATTAAGCTGGCCCACTCACACAGAAGGACAAGGAGGACCGATTTGCATGATAACACATGATAGATTCACTGCTGTGAAAGTGTGAATGAATTGACGTTGTTTCTCACGCTCACGCATAAACAAATAAGTTGACTTTCTAGACACATTAAACCCAAAGTCCAAAGTCTAAATTGCCCTAACCCTAAAAGTGAGTCATCCCCTGCAAACATGGGCATGGGATTGCATTTGTGCAAGTGGATTGATCTGATCCAACGTTGATCCCACAGAGAAAAAGGGACCCACCCCCGGACCTACTAATAATGCTTCAATTCCCACCGTTAACCTACTACCAAAACTAGAAGACCTACAAACTCAAAAGTGGGTGCTCCCTCCTTTTTTAATGCGTAGAGAGGCACCATACAACCATAAACCCGGTCCGGTTGACTTAGTGTCGGCCACTAAATGGAGGGACAAAGCGACCGAAACACCCTTAAGCCACACGGCCTTGTTTAACCAGCCAAAGTCGTTTCAGGAATCAAATAAGGATCTGGATTCTAGACAAGGAGGCCGCGTGGGACACAATTATTTTTAATAAGCACCATTGGGGTCCTTGATTTGGAAAAGATCGCCATTTAATTTATACTCCAAAGTGTAATAGAATATTAAGGATGAGATTACAAACAACATGTATTGATTTGCTTTATTGGTAAAGAGGCTCACTTCACTTTCCTTCAACTATTCTTCATTCTTCAACACTACAACAACAAAGAGAAAGAATGGGAGCATGTTAGAGTAGAGAAGCAGCATATATAAATCATTCAATAATCTTCAATATGGCAAAATTAGGTGGGTTCATTGTAATTTATTATAATTCATTCTATTGTATTCTTGTATCTTGTCTCTTCAAATTCTGATAATACATCTTCTTTCGCCCACTAATAAAGTAGGATCATCAACCGGTGGAAAATACGGCTATATTTAGACCATGTTTTCATGTGAAGCTTATGATTCTCTCAGACACATGGGTGGACATGAATGCAATGCTACTTTTAACCCGGCCCATCTTTGGATTGAGCCTTTTCTGGGATCTACTTACGAGGCCCTGTTTCCTCCTCTTAGTTGCAAATTATAATCTCTTCATCCTCTTTTGGTCCGCTCACTTCAATAAAGGTTATGTTTGGTTTGAAGGAAAATATAGGGAAAGTATAAAAAATATAGAAACACCTATACAAGTTTTCCCATCTTTTCCTAAAAGTATGTTCTTTTACCCCCTCCTCCCTCAATTTTTGAAAAAAAAAATATATAAGCACAAGGTTCAAAATTCTGACAAACCCCTTTCAGCAAATAGGGGTATATCAAATTTATGAACCTTGAGTGGACAACTTTGGCCTTGCTTTGGTCCTCCCATGGCTCTCTTTGTTTGTAATGCAAATCTTAATTAAATATAAATTTATGTTTGTATCTATTGATTTGCACTCTTATCTGATGCAAAATTCATACTTTTTGTCACATTTACACTTTATCGGCAGTGCGCCTTTTTCACTATTCCGATGCGAAATCTGCACTCATCCTTAAAAGGCTCGGTTTAATTAGTTTGATAGCTTTCCTTCGGCTTTCTGTTTCTCTCAAATTGTATTCATACAAATAGCTAGCCTTTTCTCGACTTTAGTAGAGAAAAAAAATATACCAATGCTCAGTGGACCGCCACCAACCAGCTGGAAGGGCAGAAAATGCATCTGAAGGAATAGAGTACAAACCCTTGATAAACTAGTAATGCTTATAAGTCCTGAAACTCAAGCCATTTGTGTGCTTGATCGATCACAAGATTCTTGGAATTAGATCTGTCATCTATTTGCGAAGAGTGCCCCATATCACTACTTTTTAGGCGAGCACCTTCAAAGCTTCAACGCTGTGAGAAGAAAGAGAGATCCGATCCCCCAATATTGTTGAACTTGTGATAACTGATATGAGAAAGAATACATCCCCCAAGAAGAAAACCCTCTTCATAATAGTGCAACTTGGACTTCAACAAGATTCTTCATGCATCCTCTCGTTCATATTGCTCAGTTAAGGAACCTTGAACTGCGTGATTAATTTTCTATAGGATAAACTACGTTAACATCCTTCATTCCTTATATACTATGGTGCTGAAAGTGAAACACCTTCCTTACGCTGAGTTTGGAAGGAGTATAAATGCAAATATGTAAAGTGCAAAATCTTATATTTTGTGTATATATTTGCACTGTACATATTTGCATTTGTACTATTTCCAAATTGAGCCTTTCTGGGCATCAAACTTTGATGTATTAGGCATTTTTAAATACCCAAATTGCTCTTATTTTCTAAATTTCATATTCTAAGACGAGAAAGGAGGTTTTATTATTATTATTATTAATATTATTTTAATTAAGTGGGATGGGATCGATATATGATCGGTTTTGCCATACTGTTCTACGACATGGAGGGATTCCATGGCCAAACTACATCATCCATCTAATAAGGGGGGCGGGGTCCATCCAGGATAAATGATGCACTGATGCTTACTCCAAGCCAATTCACTCTATCTGTTCTTGGACAGGAATTATGTGAATGGTATCATATATTATATTTATAGAGGTGTCAATTGGACTGGATTTGGTCCAACCCGATCCAGTTCAATGTAAGTCCACTTACAAATGGACTGGATTCAATTCAAAATAAATCAAATTCAATGGACCCAAAACAAATCGAATGAAATATCAAAAGTTATATAAAAAATTACAAAAATATATTTAAATAAAAAAATCTAAAAATTATAAAAATATACCATTTTGGCATTGAAAACGCACTTTTGTAAAATCATTTTTTATGAAAGTATTTTGTAAAAATATTTTTATAAAAGTATTACTTTCATATAAATGTTTCTTCAAAGTATATATTCTTGTAAAGGTACTTTCGTATATCAGACTAATAAGAATATAGACCAATTTGTTTTAAATTGGTCCAATCCAATAATTATAATGGACCGTCCAAATCCAATTTAATAAAGTTTGAATCGAATTAGATCCGATCCAAAACCAATCGATTGTCACCTTTATATATTTCTTTTTCTTTTTTTGGTAAGGATAACCCTATATATTTCTGGACCTTGTATTTGTATTCTTCTCGAATTAAGCCAAAAGTGCAGGTAGCATCATGTATAAAGTAGTGGTTAGAAAATCCGGTCCTGTCACGGTAGCCTGCACGCTCAATTTTGTTGGAAATATCAGGAAAAACACGGAGTCATAACGAAACTGAGTCGAGGTCACCTGCCAACAAAACAGGTTCCAACCTTCTACCTTTCCCTACTTTGTTATTTAATAATGTTACAAAAGTGTAAATGTAAATGTAAAACCTTTTTGGGAAAGCAAACGTATACCAGGGGCATGCATGAGTTATCACTCCACAGAAACTAGAAGAATGGTCTAGTTTGTCAAAAAGTGAGAAGAATATTCATCATTACTTTGTAGATGAGTTTTTTTTTTTTTCATCACTTTATAGATGAATTGAGAATAGAAAGCACATTCAATAAATACTTTATAAATATTTTAATGGAAGAATTACTGTTCAACTCACCCCAAAATTTTTAACCCTATTATACAGGTAGATGAATATAGATCTGAAATCAATGCCAATTCTACGGATAAGATGCAGTTTATAGGGGCCATAGGAAACTGTAATTTCATATTTCTGCGGTGGAATGGCCTAATCCGGACTCAGATGAATCGGGATCTGAGCATAAGGCTTAGGGCCAGTTTTATTGCACCGAAAAACATCGTTGACTGCTATTGAACCATTCACCCAATTGACCCAAAGAATCAAACTGCGGGCTCCTCTTTCAATTGATGATGTGCCACACTTTGACCTATTCAACCCGATCAGTTCAAGTGTTGACCTGCACTCCAAAGCAAAAATAATTCAACCTATGATTGTCGATCTCAACCAAAATCCAAACGAAACATCTGGCCATTCGACCTAACGGTTCAGCAGAAGCTGTATTTAAAATGATTTAAATGCTACTATGTCAACAACTTGAATTGTTGACCTCAATTAGCCCAAACCTGACTCAACTCTGACCCAATGGGGTCGGGTCAAAATTGGTTTACTAGTGTCCCATTGGAATTGGGATTTGCTCTTCACAGATTATATCTCATACAGACCTCACATCACATCCCACCATGACCATTTCCTACACACAAAGTACAGGAGATATCCCGACCAACAGCTAGGATTTGTTGTGAAATTGGTGTAAGAAGCGCTCTATTGGGAGCAGATCAGAACTCCCATTTGACATCCCTACCCAGTTTATTCTGTCAAATGGCTTCTCATCATGAGCTCTAAAATCATTTCTCACTGCTCCAACGCATGTTTGTGTTGCTCCCGTTTCTCTAAAATCAGTTTTCCTGATCCCCTAAAATCATTTCTGGCTATTTCAATCCATGTTCTGCGACTGACTTTTTTCTATCTCCTTCAATCTCGGACTCTGATGTTTCAGTTTTTCTTATGGTGGCTAAAAATAGTCTTTTATTTTAAATCATCATAGTCTATGTTAAGTAATCTGATTGACTTACTGAAGTCGCACTTAATTTTTTTTTAGCTTAATCCATTTTTATGATCTTTCATATTTTCTCACTCATTCTTCCCAATATTTATACTGTCGCATTGAAAGTAACAAGGGCGCCATCAGTAAACTCGTTTGATTCACAGCCGGAATTGGAACTGGAATGGTATATTTCTTTGGTTTAAACATGAATAAGAATGAGAACTGGAATCAGCCTTTTAAAGGGAGGGGTAGGGAATGGCCATTCCATCAAATGGGGGAATGTCATTCTAGCAGGAATGGGAATGGGATTCGATTCTGTTCAGCCAAACATTTGAAATCGGGATAGCCCATACAGATTCCAATTCCAAATTCCTATTCCCGCAAACCAAACAGAAATTAAATATATGTTTTCGCCCTCAAATTTGAATGGGCCAAAATGGCTTTGTCGTGTGCAAAGTAATTAAACTGCAACTTGGTCCGGGTTAGTCCAAACCCAACCCAAAAAAAAATCGGGTTAGGGTTGACTACTCGAGCAAGCCGACTTTGTAGTACATATATATCATACATTGATTTGTTGAGATGCATGATAGTTGTATAGCCACCATCACATACTATCATATATTTTATTTCAAATAATCACTTCACTTGATTCTAATTAGAAATACTAAAACCTTAATAACATATTTTATATTTTCTGAGTATTTTATTCTTTATCTCCTCTTGTTATTTGTCACCTATATAGCTTATTGCCCATGAAAGATCTATTACAAGTCATCATAATAAACTATAGTCATTTCGAATACTTTTTTTTATGAAATATATACTTAAAGAACCAATAAAAATATTATAAATAAATAATAATAAAATATAAGATTAATATATGTAATGAAAATTGAGTTAAGATCTAAAATTAAAAAAATTTTGTAAGATCTTGAAGGATAGAAAGAAGGTTAGTTTCAGTCCAACTCGAAATTGATTTGGATTGGATTAGGATTGAAAGAATTTAATTAGGGTTAAGATTAGGATTAGATAAATCGAAACTGATTAGGGTTAGGACTGGGTTTAAAACTTACGGTCGAACTAGGGTTGGCCTCAACCCAAACGAGCCGCCTTGCAGCGCTAGTGCAAAGGTCCAATATGTAAAGTACACGGGTAGGGCACCCAAGAATGATACAATTTACATGTCAAATGGATCCGAATAAATCCAGCGGATTATCCATTAACAATGCCCAGTGTAAAAAGAGGATACGGTAATAGTAGTTTTAACTTTTGATTGAAATCCGACGTTTGAGAATGACTGCACTGCCGGTTTGATGCTCTCTGGTCAACAAACTGTTGAATAAAGGTCATTGTTAATGAAATAAGGGGCATTTTTGTCCCTTTACATCATTCCTAGAATGTGGATATACTAATCACTTACCAGTACCACGAGATTGGTGGAAGAAACAAATACAAGGGGCCAGACTTGGTGTTCCGCTTAGTTGGTTGCGAACTTGCGATTGCGATTTGCGAGCCGTCATCACTTTACTTTCTACTGCCGTCCGTCTGCTCTCTTTCGTTCCTGAAGGAATCCTTGTGCTGCATTAACCCATGGCTTCCTCTGTCAATCGATGGCTGAGGCCCGAGGTTTTTCTTTTCTTTTCTCTTTTTTTTTTTTTTTCTTTTACGGATCATTCAGACCTTTTTCTTTTCTTATTCTCTATTTGATATCTTTTTGTTATTCGTCATATCTATAAATCTCATGATTTCTATGGGTTTTTTTTTTCCATTTTTGGGGTCTTGTGAAGGTTTATCCTCTGTTCGCCGCTGTTGGTGTTGCTGTAGGAATTTGCGGGTTTCAGTTGGTGCGCAACATCTGCATCAACCCTGAAGTGAGGTGATCTACCATCAAGCCCCATCTCTTTCTACTTGATTCTTCTATGCATTATTGGTTAATACATGGATGGTCTGAGTATAGATGTATTATTATAGAGCAACGATAGATAAAAAAGTCGATGGATTTATCAAAGTAGGATGCCTCTTTCCAGAAATTCGGACCATCTAAATTGATGCACTAGGTACACAATCCTCAGACCCCCCCCCAAAAAAAAAAGCACTTAAAAAGAATTCGATCCAAGTTCTCCAACCTTTGGGTTGATTGTCTTGGCTCTACTTTTCTGGAGGATCTGTAAACTTTTCAATTGCTGCTCCTTCTGCATCAAGTTGATTGCATGGCATTTAATATCTCTGCTGATTTCCCTTCTTGGAAGCTTCCATCTCTGTTTTATTTTTCTTTTTAGAGTTGTTGGAACTTGGAAATAAGCTTTTAAATCAGCTTTTTTTTTTTTCTTTCTGTGATGATTTATCTTTTTATCACAGGACGGTCCATTTAACTAATCTCCATTTTTTTCCTGAAGTATGTTAGCAGGTTAGTTTTTATTTGGCGATATTAGTTCCAAAGTAAAACTAAGCAAGTCTTATTCCTCTGTACACCTTCAAAGTTCCTAACTGGAGCTTCAAAACCTTTGTACTACTGCAACAAGTTTCATTCCAATGTGACCCCAGTATTTGAAGTCATTTAGCCATAAAGCTCTGCTTGGTAGTGAAGCGAATTGGTATATCTTTTCCCTGCTTAACACCATTGCTGGAATTTCTTCCAGCATAAACATTCTAGAAATACATCACAACTTGGGGAAGTTGGTCAATGGGATCATCCGACCAAGAAATTCATGTTATTTTTGCAGATTTATGTGGGGATCAGGCTTCTAGGTGGGTAAATTAAGTTTTTCATCTTGGGGAAAATTATCAACACTTTTAATAATAATTTTTATGGCTAAAATGATTATTATATAGTAAATAAAAGAACATGGGTAAGAAAACACTTTCCAGTAAATAACTTATGAAAAGTGAAGATATTTGGATTTTCCGTATTTTCCAATTTAATAATTCTGATTTCAAGGCAGTTGCTTCACATGAAAGTATGAAACTATAATGTTTTACTTATGGATGTTTATGTTTTTTCCCTGGAACTGGAACCAGGGTGAGCAAGGAAACTAGAGCTGCTGGAGTGCTGGAGAACTTCTCAGAAGGGGAGAAATACGCTGAGCACACCCTCAGGAAGTTTGTTCGCAACAGGACTCCCGAGATCATGCCCTCCATTAATAACTTCTTTACCAACCCAAAGTAGACAACATTCAATTGTTGGTGATGGTTGAGAGCTTGAGGGTAGACCATTTATTCTAATATTAATTGTGATTGCAATTTGAGATTGGAGAGTGGTTGAAGTTGAAGTTGAACCTTTTGGGTGTGATCGAACTGAAGAACCTTTGTTGATTTTAGTTGATGCAAAATCGATCAAGGACAGAATCCAGATTACAAGTCATGTGGTATTATTGTGGTGTTTTATCACTTGGAGTGAAACGTTTTTGACATATGATGGTGAAATCATAGTAAATAACACCGCATTCACCCTGTCTTGCGATGATCCCATAACTTTTAACAATTTTTGTGTTGCCAAATCTGGATGTGGTTGGGTTCTCAGTCATGGCTAAACCCTGTCTTGCGATGCTTGACTCTCTAAAAATGAATTTGAGGTTGAGTTTGCAAGTAAATGTTGCAAGTTTCCAGAGTTAAAATGAGATAGTTTGAAAGGGGTGCACACCACAATCATCGTGGAAAATGCATATTTAAAATGCAAATGCCAAAGCCTATATGGTGAACAAAAGGGTTCCTTGTACTCCATTCTAAAATATGGTGAACCGAGAACACGCAGCGGCAAGAGGTATTTTTCTCAAGTAATATATGCCAGATTGTTTAATGAAATATTCATTACCAAAAAAAAAAAATCTAACGAAATATTACCAATGCGAAATGTTGTTGTACTTTTGACTGCCAACTCTTTTTAAGGATCAGTTTGGAAAATTAAAAATACAAATATGTATAGTTACCCGCTGACGATGCTCATTGGCAGATACATTGCAAAATTTCGATCTACATGCTGATACAGTACAGCCGATACGTTGCAAGATTATGATCCATACTCGGTCCTCGTATACCAATAATAACGGGGCAATCCAGACGGTGCCAGAGAAAACTGATAACTTAATCCACCATGGGCTTCAGCCTTGGTTTAGGAGGTTATTCTCGGAGACAAGCAAGCACGTCCAGTCTGTAAAGTGTAAACATTTGTTGTGCGCTTTCGGTCCATGAACAGAGTAATTGATTAAGCAGGTGGTCTCTGATGTCTGATTACAGGGACGCCAGCTAGTTTCAGGTCTCAACTTTAAGGCTCCATTTGTCTAAAGCATAAAAGAAGCCTATAACATTCCTTTTGCAAATATTTCGATTATTTTTACGCCTTTTCAACAAGGATATTTCTTTACGCCTCTCTTTAAGGGCCCTAGTCATTTTGAAATCTAGCTTATGGTATAGTTACACTCTTAAGTTAGATTGTTAAAGAGTTGTCAATTTTTAATGGATTTCAGGCTTGAAATTTCAATTTCTATTACCAATTTCTTTCACGATAATCAATTTTATCCTACAGTCCTAAACTTTGTTCAATTATTAGCACGTCCTAGGATCCTAGCTGGGCCATATGCATTCTCAATCCAGACCAAATTCCCTCATCAATAGACAACAGTCATTATTGCCATTGAGAAGCACCGTCTCAAACGACATACTGTTGCTCAGGACCTGCTAATACAAAGACATTCATATCGGGCTGCTTTCAAAATAGCATTCATGTCTGTAAATAGCATATGCTTAAAGTTTAGGATCCAACTGAGAGACTTCTCATGCAATACCCTATTGGATCAATAGCTGCTACCCATTCACAGAGATGGCACAGCTTTTATTCCCCTAAGCACATGCATAATGCATTGACCACCACGACATGGGAACTTCTAGCGGTAGCATCTCGAGCGTGAATCACACGCTAGGGAAACTTGGCTTAATAACAGAATATCCAACACACTACCTACTTATCAAAAAAATATACATCCAACACACTACCCAGTAAACATCCTAAACACAATAAACCAACTTTGACATTGGTAGATTTGGTTTGCATATTTCACAAACCACAAAGGGAAACATTTTTTATGGGTGTTAATGCCACCAATGGGTTTCCCGTGCCAAAAATTGATGTGCTCAAATGATCATAAGCAACTGGTCCTCTGCACCCATTTGGGGTCTGTTTGGCATCGTTGCTGTTGCTCCAGAAAACGGCACCACATCAGTGCCATGTAGGAAAAAACAGTGCTCCAGGAAACAGCTATGGAACCGTTTTTCCATAAAAAACAGTGCTCCAAGCCACGCCTTAGAAATCGGAAAGGCATGGCTTGGAACAAGGTTCAAAGTATCGTTACGTATCGGCCGATACGTATTGTTCCGGGACCCTTCCGATACGCCCCTACAGTGGGTGTATCGGGGGTCTGACCGGTTCTGGGGATGGAGGGGTCCTAGACCGGCTCCCCTGGACCAGTTTTGAAAAAATAAAAATAAAAAAAGGGTAAAAAAACAAGTAACGAAACGCCCGATACGCCCCTATCGGCAATACCGGGCGTATCGATATTTTGAACCTTGGCTTGGAGCAATGCCAAATTTGGCATTTCCTGGAGCTGCAGCTCGTTGCTGCCAACAGGGCAGTGATGTGGCAGTGGATAATGCGTAGAAGAGCAGAAAACATTTCCTAGAGCATTGGTACCAAACAGAAAAAGTTGTTGCTCCAGGAAACGTCCTACCTGGCAGCAACGATTCCAAACAAAAAAAAAAAAGGCACCGTTTTAACGGTGCTTCCAACCCACACATCAGCAGCACAGTTTGCAGGATCAATGCCAAACATATACTTGACATCAAGGAAACCCATCATGATTCATGAACAAAGAAAAAGGCAATAAAAAATTCAAACGATGATTATCATCATTTAATTGAATAGTTTTCAGCAGTAAATGCCACCAGCTGGAAAACCATCATGATTAATGAGCCAAAAAGGTAATGAAATAATCAAACAGACAAAAAAGAGCCTTTAAACGATGGTTAACATCATTGAACTGGATAATTTTAAGCAGTAAATGGCACAAGCTAAAACCCATGAATCATAGGACCTATACCTTCCACAGATATATTGGTATACATCACCACTGCTCTGAACAAGCTTGAAGATTCTATAACCAGTCTCACAGATGGGAAGACATCTTTTCAATACTTGTTTTGTTTCATGACCAATTTACATTCTTTCAAATGACAGTATATACCCATAAGCATGAACTGTAAATCCAATCAAATAAAAACCACCAAAGCTGTTATTTTTTTCTGGATATCAAATTCTATGATTAACTTGAGAATTCAAAGAGAATGATGACTAATTAGAAACACCATCTCCTTGCTGTACATAGTGAAAAAGAGGAAAAATAATAACAAATTCAACTGAAAAGGAATATATAATCAAGCAAACAAATAAAGAAAAGTTACCAGCAAAGTTATCAGTCATAAATAATTGCCAGTTGTTCTACTGCTTAACCTTTAAATGCTTTTATCTACAAATCCCAAAGTGAATACTATGTATACCACTAGCAATGCTTAGTAAATGATTTATAGAGTTCCAAACATGTAACTTACAAGACTTGATCAAGTGGGAATGTAGGGTTCAGACTGAATTTTCTATAAAGCTCAAGTTACCGCCCTGGAATAAGGATTCTGAAGCAATTGTTTCTCTCCAGCATGCAACGTTTGGATTTTCTTCACTGGTCTGATCTGATCTATGGCATATTTTTATCATATTTGTTTCAGTAAACCAGGACTCGGTGGGATGTACCTGTGTTCAATCATTTTTTATATTGGAATGAAATTCTCATGGAGGGAAATGCTCAACATCCATTGAAGGCAAAGACTGTGCTGCTCTCATTCCCCGTAGAAGACTCTTTGCTGTTTCCTTCTCCTGAACTCGCAGAGATATAAGAATTAGTAAAGCTGAACAGAAATGTTTGGGCATTTAAAAAAATTGTCAAATGAGTTAAAGTAACAGATTAGGTTACTCACTGGGCCTGTATAGTCCAGAAGTCTGGTACAATAAACCTCTGCTTCCTCAAACCTTTTTTGTGCTTTGCAGTATGTGGCAAGAAAAAGCAAAGCTTCTACCATATTTGGCCCCTCCCTTTCCTCGGCTTCCATCCTTTCCAAATCCCTTTTGTAGTAAAAAGCTGCCTCTTCAGTGCGCCCAAGTTCATTATGCAGCTTTGCCAACTGGTGTAACGCAATTGCCTCTCTGTCGTTACAATTTGCTGCCCTCCGGTAACACTTGATTGCCTCCTCAAGCATGTGAAGCTGCTCAGTTTCATAACACTGAGCCATGGCAATCCACAATCGGGAATCATTTGGCTGCAAGTATACTGATTTCCGGAAATAGTATAGTGCATAAAAGGGCATACACATCATCTCATATGCTTGTCCCAAACCATACCAGGCCCGATAATCACATGGATCAATATCTACAGCCCGCCGATATGCATCAATAGCAGCTGGGATGTTCTTCATCTCAACATACTCATGGCCCATCAGAGTCCAAGCTGACAAGTAATTCTTGTTCAGTTTGAGTGCCCTTCTGAAATACACAACAGACTTCTCGTGTTGCCCCTTCAGACTGTAATAATTCCCAATAATGCAACAAGACTCGGGCCGATATTTATCAGTCAAGAACACCCTGTGGGCAAGGTAACTCAGGGAAGAAAAGCTCTCTTTCGCATAAAGCACATTTGAGTACATATCCATGTCCTCCACTCGATGAGGATCATTTCTTAGAAGTTCTTCAAAGATAACTTCAACTTGCTCAAATTCCCTCAAACTATACTGGGCTTTTGCAATTTGCGCCTGAATGTAATTGCTGAAAGGAAAAGTCCCTTGAAGATATTCGTATTTTGACAAGGATTCACTGTACATCCTGAGTCCTTGGTGTGCACTGGCAAGGAAGAAGTCTTTCATCCAATGATTCTTAAGATTAAGATTGTTCAAGATATCAATGGTGGTGCACAATGACTGCAGTTCTGACCAGGCATTCCAGTTCCAAGGGTAACTATTAACAGACTCCACAAGGACTGTTCGTGCAAGATCCTCACGTCCTTTCTCCTTAAGAATGACACCATACAAATAAAGGCCAAAAGGATCAATAGTACCATTCTTGCGGTATGTTGACAATTCTCTCTCAAGAGAAACCAACTCATGGTTTACAGCATCACTCTTACCCAAGGGTCCCTCAAGTTCTATCATCTCTTCCTCTTTCCGCTTTTCACCAGCCTTCATTAGCAATAAAATGAGACAGATAACTATGTGCAAACTTAGAAAAACAACAAAAGCTTTATAGAGCATATTGATTTGATGTTAATTGGCTACAATCTTTATTGTTCATCTTATGGACTAATATGTCAATGATGTTGCAAGTTCTCTCATACACATTTTGTCACATAACCATAAAAGTAAACACCAGATATACTACATACCAACAACGAAAATGTGGACAGTGCCAATTGCCAACTCTTTAATTTCCTACAATAAGGTACCAATTAGGAAACAAATCTAAAATAAGGGTGGTAATCAGATGATGAAAGAATATGGTGTTTCAACTGATTTTAGATTTTAGTTCTTGTTCCATTTACTGTGTTGGTCTTGCAGATGTGAATCCTTTTGTGGGCTGCGAACTAGTGTCTGTTCATGACACAAAGCTTGAGGAGGAAAAGTATCTTTGACAGGTTAGGCTTAACAGTCTAACTCATACAATTGAGGATTAAAACGTAAGCATCTAATATGAGAAGTGCTGCGGTAGAAAAATCTCAGTCTGACAATCATCCGATAGATATGGCAACTCCAAGCTAAATGCTTCGCTTCCAAAGATCCATTCGAGCAGGTCAATGGCACACTTTCTCTTAGAGTTGGATACAAGCAATCATAGTGATATGGAGCTACCAATTATTTTTTTCCAAGCCCATTTTTTGCAGACGAAGCCATAAAATGCACATAGAGCCCGTCAAAGCTCATAATTATCATGCTTTTGTAATGCAATTCCTATTACAAACTGGCAATTAAAACAAATTCCAAAATACAACACGAAAACGCAAACAATCCTTACTATCCCATAAGAAAGTATACATAAAAAGAATCCAGCGAGGGGATACGAAGGTAGTAAGGAATAAAGGGAGCAAATTGGAGAGAAAAAATATTAACGAACGTTAAGATGATATCAAACCAGATAAAGGGCGTAGCAACGCAAGAAAACTGATTTCTTCCCCGTCTGGTCTCGAAGCGCATGAGCAGCCCTCCGGTACTCCCGGCAATCGAAGTAGGACTTAGCAAGAAGATAACAATCGCTGTCGACAAGGTCGTCTTCCTCTGGAACTGGAGTGGTGATATACGAAACACCAGCAGTGGGCGTGGAAGGAAGCTCGTTAGTACGGAATCTCCTGCGAATGCTTGAACTCCCGCGCTGGAATCTGGTGTGAGAAGGTGTGAACTTTGCTGGATCTTGTTCGATTCCCACCAGCTGTTCTGCTGCCCTGCAAACGTTGATCAATTCGATGCCCGTGAATCAAAGGAACAGGTATAAATAGAGGCGCCAAATTTAAGTATTGGAATGGTGATAACACGAGAAGTAAATAAGGACTTTGAGACCGATGAATGCGATCTGAAATTGAAATGAAGCGGGAGGCAGCAGCTTCAAAAAGAATAACGTTGACAGTGGCTTAGGATTTATTGATACCATTTTGAGGCAGAGTAGAGGCAACGATCGTTAAGCTGACGGATTGCCGTTCGGAGCTCGGTTCTGCAACTCTCTTTTGAACCCATTTCTTACTCTTCTGAAATTCTCGCGCTTAAGGTTCTAAACCCCAAAATTGAACTTGGCATCGACCCGTTGCTAACATGCACCGGGAGTACTCGATCCGTCGTGCAGTGCATCACGGTGACTGAAGTGACAATTATCGTGGTGAGCCCGGGCCCAGGCTGTTTCAAAACAGGATTTCCTAGGGTGGACTGAATCCTATTGAAACAAACCAATTAACATAGGATTTCCTAAGTGTAACTTCCTATGATTTCCGAGAGTCGTTAACATAGCAACTGAGTCACCCTTCGGTTGGTTACACTCGGCCCATTTGCACTCCATGCATTTACACTGATGCAAATAAAATATGCAATGCAAGCAAAAGCTTACCAAAATTTACACTCACCTTATGGGGTTTGTTAGTGTTAGTCCCAAAATGCCTATGCCATTAATTGGGTTTGAGAGCACAAGATGACCCAGTCGTAACTAAAATCCATTTCTTTGTTAATCATCATTGATGTAACCGTTTCTGGTCACGTATCAATTTTTGTGATGTATCAATTTTTTTTGGCTAAGTACCTCGTCATTTGACCTGCTTCCAGGTGGCTTGTGACTAAGAAGATGATGGAGCTCCCTGGTGGCGAACTGCCTGGTGGTGAGATACTTGGTGACGAGCTCCCTAGTGACAAGCTCCCTGGTGGTAAGCTACCTAGTGGTGAGCTACCTGGTGACGAGCTCCCTGGCAGTGAGCTACCTGGGTGGACTCGTCATTTGACCTGCTCCTAGGTGGCCTGTAACTCAAGGGATGGTGGAGCTCCCTGGTGTAGCGCAACCCGACTGCCCTCTGCATGAGGTGATCTCCTCTCCTTTGTAGGCGGTGGGAGTTGAAGGACCTGTGAGAACTCCATCTTTTCCTCCTCTTTATAGGCGACGGGAGCTGAGGAACTTGCGAGAACTGAATCAGAGGACCCGGGGGTATTTTCCCGGCGAGGACTCTCCGATGCCTAAGTTAGCATTCTGATTGTAGGGAGCTTGGAGAAAAATGAGAGAGCTAGAGAGCAGGGATTACCTCCATTTTTTCATTCTCTCCCCCTTGTCTTTGGGGGTCGGAGTCCTTATATAGTGGTGTTCTATTAAATCAGGCGTAACAGCCTCTGTCAAGTAAGGCGTAACCGCCTCTGTCTCTCTGCCACAGTCGTTACTGCCAAAGCTGAGGTGGAGGGTGCAAGCGGTTGTTACAGAGTACGGCCCTGCCAGTCAAGGGACAGCTCTCAGGACTGTCAGGCACGGCGCCGCCTAGCGAGAGACGTGGGCACAGGTCTCTGGATCTGTCAGGTACGGTTGTCAGGCAGGAGATATTCCTACGATACGTTGAGCTGCCCCTAAGTGCCGAGCTCTTCGCAAGACGCCATGCTGCCTGAGGAGTGGCCAGCTACCTGTGGCGAGCTGACTATGTCGAGCTACCTATAAGTGTCGAGCTGCCCCTAAGTGGCGAGCCATGCTGAGCTGTCTGTAAGTGGCAAGCTGTGGCAAGCTCTGCCGAGCTGCCCGAGCTTCTCGAGCTACCCAGATGTTAAAAGGCTGCACTTGGTTTGTATGAGGTGCCAGGTGTCACAATTTCACTGGAGGGCCAAATCCGCCCTCATCAGTCATGTTCCATATTCTCAAAACTAGTTGAGAGAAAATAAATGCAAAAATCAATAATTAAAAATAGAATTAAATTCACTAATGCAAATAAAGTATGATAACAAAAATCTAATTTGAGATGAAAATATGGTATTGACCTCAACTTGGATTTAGGTCTTTAGTAGCTACAATCTAATCCAAACCCATAGTGGCATTTGGCATCCTATACCTTGTCAATTGTGTCACTTGTTAATTATCATATCCCACTACCACCAGGGTTAAGGGGATGGAGGATGGGATACCCCCATTTGTGTAGCCCTATGAAACATAAATAAAAAACTTTTAATCAATGGTTTTGGTAACAAGATAGAGACACTATAGTATAATAATATTTTGACTTTTTTAGTGAATATAATATTTCACATTTGATTGGGGCACTATGGAACTTTTAACCTCATCAAAACTTCCCCCATCTATATTTAAGTTGATACTATTAGAGGGCCAAAAACATTTCTTTGTTCTACCTAACCATTTTTTAACGTAGACTATTGTTATGGGAGTTCACTTTCTCATAATTCAACTTATAAACATGTAATAAATTTGTATGTCAACTTGAAAAAAATATCAACCTTAATAGTTAATACGTCTAAGCTATTGAATTGTAGTAGCTATGGTTTTTGGAATATCTTTTGCCCTCTTCCTCAAAACATTCATCACCATTCCTCTCCCTACAAAGATTTTTTTTAGCCCCAAAATTTACTCCTGGTGGAGGAGTGGCCACCGAAATTTTATTGATATGCAGAAAACACCTTGAAGGGGGGGTGAAGCCTTACCCCTCGCTCTATACAAAGGAAGCCTGGCTCATATAAATATAAAGTGTCTAGACAACTTAGAATCAACGTTGTCTAAAAAAAAGAAGACCTAGACCATCTGCTATAATCAAGTTTTGTATATGTGAAGGAAGAGTATTTGTGCAATCATAAACAGTTTTCTGAGATGCTAAGCAACCAAGTTTTGCAAGAGCATCCGCCGGTTGGTTAGCCTCTTTGTAAATATGAATCTCCCTCTAAAGATTAGTTATGATCTTCACTTTCAAGTTCACTTCTCTATTTACCTCTTTCCCTCACTCAAACGGAAATGCCTTTGATTAGTTTGTTTCTATTTGTTCTTAACAAATTATAACTTAGACCTTTTGGGTTTAGGTGATGAAATGGATTATGTCTTTCCAATTTATACCACTGGTTAGGCATAGTATTCATCTTCTAGGATATCATTAGTTTAATAAAATGGTTTGATTTTTTATAATAATGGATCATAAAAACTTTTATTCTTTTTGGTAACTAAACAACAAATCAAAATTTAATCTTGTTTTTTACTCTAAAACCATCCAGCCACACTATTCGCCTTCGTCTTCTTGGTTGTTGGTTATCTTCCTCTTCAACGATGATTCTACTACCGTGGTAAATAGGGGTGGCAATGAGCCGAGCTTTTCACGAGCTGTTCAAGCTCGAGCCCAATTCAGAGGCTTGATTATGAAACGAGCCAAACTCGAGCCTATTTATGTGGGGACCAAAGAAAATTTATTTTAATGGGTATCACTTACCTACCATCTCTACATGAGAGAAAATTGCCAACACTTGGATGAAACAAAAATGCCCCTTTTAATAATGGATTTTTATGGCTAAAATGGTCACTGTCTTATTTACCTAGAACAAAAAAAGAACATAAGTAAATACACTTATCCAGATAAATAACTTACTGAAAAGCAAATGAGATCTAAAAGGAATATCAAGAATGTTATTATAGTTTCTTTATTTGTTTGAGTGAAGGTGTATAAAACTTTAGAAGAACCTGGGAACAAGAAAAGGAATTTAAAGAGCACTTGGATACTGATTTACATTACACTAGCTTGTTTGACGGTTGTTGCAGTATCCCACATCAAGTCTACAAGACAAACAGGGTGTTCATCTTCACAGTGAGTGAGATCAGGCAAAGCTTTCACAAATCCCAAGATTCTGAAAGGGAGGTTTCTTAAATCCTCCTACTCTATATCTTAAGGTTTGATTTGAAATAGACAATCTTATGTAACTGAAGGTCTACCCTTTATATGCTTTATAACAAAATGTTCATTGTTTTACCTATCAAGTACAAGGAAAATTGATGGAGGTGGCTACTTCAGTCACAGTTGATGCTTTATGAAAGAGAGCATTGTATGACGGCGAGGGACTGATTGTTGGTGTTGAGAAGATTTCCGGAGAACAAGGACGCAGGTTGCAAGGAATTATATGATTGGTTTGGATTACTCAAGAAGAGATTTTTATAGTGGTCCACAAGTCTTGTGTCCATAGGTCCAAAATGCAATTACTATGTATATGAAGTCTGTCTTCCATTTGTGATCCACCTGCGTCAAGTAATGGGACATTCCGTTCTTCGTCTTCTGGCTATGCTCAGTGCTTATTTGTCAGAAAACCCAATCTTGGTAATGACTATTTGAAAACAAACCACTCGTCCTCTCTCCGCCATGAAATGTGGTTGTGGATAACGTCGAAATGTGATTGGAACTAGTACTCAAACAATGAACATTAGGCTGCCTTTTGAAACGACGCAAATAAGTGTGAATGTAAATAATTAGAGTGTAAAATGGTTCATATATGCAAAATTGAGTTAGTTTTGCACTGATAAATTTACATTCTTACCAAACAGATTTTTAGTTATAATTGATGCAAACATGAATTCCATATAAAATATATGCTTTTTTTTTAATGAAAACCCACTTGAATACAAATTTACTTTTTTTTTTTTTATTGATGTGCACTGATCGGTCATTTCTCAATGCATAAATATAATATTGCCAAACACAAGCAAAAGTGAATCAGAGTGCAAATTTACCCTAAACTGAAATTTATGCTTCATTTGCATCGTTTCCAAACACAACCTTAGGGGTTATTGGAACAACCGGTGATTGGTGTTTATATTTAAAAATTTGAAGAATAATTAAGGGGTGAATTCAACATTTCGATTTGTCCATGAATTGTTTAATGATGATGTTTATTATAAAAAAAAAATTAGGAACTTTAGTTTTGGATGTAATAATCGATGAAAATTTCAACTAATGGAACTTTTTACATCGGTTTTTAATGTAAACATTACACTGAAAATAAATGCATATAAATGTGAATCAATAGTAGAATTTTATGTCAATTCGCATTTAAACTAAAAACAAATGCAGCCTTGAGGGATTTTGCAAACTATAAGAGTGTATAAATCCATTTATTAAAATTTAGGGGTAATTCAAGAAATTTCCCTTATAATATATGTATATTCCTAGTCAGGCCGGACCAGGCTTCAGATATTGGGCCCAGGTCTAGCCCGGAAACTGGACAAGAAAATCTAGGCCGAAGCCCGAAAGTTTCTGAACTGGACTGGACCGAGATTCTGGGCCGGTCTAAAGTAAAGATGATCAACTCTAGATCCAGTCTTTTGCTACATCCTTGCGGCCAAACAAACCTAAATCTTAAAATGTTTCATGCCGAGACGTTCCGAAATCAAACGACAACCAGTTTTATGTCAGATATTACTCTATTAGGGCCCGTCGAAGTTCATCGTGGTAGTCGATAGAACGCGGCCTTTCGCGCAATTCTCATCAGCGAAGTTGGTACTTGTCGCTGAGCCCGTCGGTGGTCGGTTTGGGAGGTGGTGTTTTCTTCTCTGTTTCTCTTCTTCGCTGCGCTTTCTAATGTTGATGCATTTGTAGCCACATTTTTCATCTTCAATTTATTCTTCCAATCCATTTTCGAGATTCATTTCATATTGTTATATTTTTTCGTGAGATCTAGGGTTTCAAGCTTCAATCTCCTCCCTTCCATTTACATCTCAGAATTTATGTCGTTAGAAGAGTTTCTTGTTGGATTTGTGATGCTCATTGTCTACAGTATGCACAAAATTGTCAAAAAAAAAAAAGCCAGAAAATTGAATTCGCGCCATCGTGAGGGGGAAAAACCCTTCTATGTTCAGCTTAGCATCGGAACGTTGTTTATAGGCGCCTAATGCTTACTCCAATTCGATTTTTCTGCAGGAACTAGTTGAGAAGTCAGAATTAGGGTATCTATTGGAGGAGATATAAAGAAAACGAAGGTAAAGGAACGATGCCTTCACAGAAGATTGAAACGGGTCACCAAGATACCGTTCACGATGTGGCCATGGATTATTATGGCAAGCGCTTGGCTACGGCTTCTTCCGATAGCACAATCAAAATAATTGGTGTGGGCAGCTCTGGTTCCCAGGATCTTGCTACCTTGAGCGGGCACCAAGGGCCTGTTTGGCAGGTTGCATGGGCTCACCCAAAGTTTGGGTCCATCCTTGCTTCTTGCTCTTATGATGGCAAAGTGATAATTTGGAAGGAAGGCAATCAGAACGAGTGGACGCAAGCCCAGATCTTCACTGATCACAAATCTTCTGTTAATTCTATTGCTTGGGCGCCTCATGAACTTGGTCTCTGCTTGGCTTGTGGATCATCTGATGGCAATATATCGGTTTTTACTGCCAGGGCTGATGGTGGGTGGGATACGACGAAGATTGACCAGGCTCACCCTGTTGGCGTTACCTCTGTTTCATGGGCCCCGTCGATGGCTCCCGGTGCTCTTGTTGGGTCTGCTGTGCTTGACCCTGTTCAGAAGCTTGTCTCTGGTGGCTGTGACAACACAGTGAAGGTCTGGAAACTTTCCAATGGGAATTGGAAGATGGATTGCTTCCCTGCTCTTCAGATGCACACTGATTGGGTTAGGGATGTGGCATGGGCACCAAATCTGGGCCTTCCAAAATCAACTATTGCAAGTGCTTCGCAGGATGGAAAGGTTATTATATGGACTGTGGCCAAGGAAGGGGATCAATGGGAAGGTAAGATCTTGAAGGATTTCAAGACCCCTGTTTGGAGGGTCTCCTGGTCGTTGACTGGAAATATTTTGGCTGTGGCTGATGGGAACAACAATGTTACATTGTGGAAGGAAGCAGTGGACGGGGAATGGCAACAGGTGACTACTGTCGAGCCTTAGGCCTGGGGTTCAATTTTTTAGCTCCTCTTCATCTTGCAACTACTTATTTTTTTCTTTTTATCGTCGTGAATGTTGAGCAATAGGTTGACTGTTTTTCCCCAATTTTATTTTTGTATTCCTTTTCCAATTTCACCATTCGTGAACTAAACCTTACCTTTATTTTCATGTACTGTTCTTTTGATGTTCAGTTAAGACTCTTGGTTTTACTGGATTTAGGGTGAAACAAAAGAAGGTTAATGAACTCTTAGCAGGCATTTTCCTGTTATATCATTTTGATGCTTGAGATATATTGACAAAATTTATGGTTTTACTTTTATTTCACTAGATTTCGTAACTGCATAATTACAGTGTATGTATATCATTCTTTTTTCGGAATACATTGATTCTATGCAGGTATTTATATATTTATTTTTCAAGTTACTTTGATGTCTACAGATTAAGTGCAGGTTGTTTCCTTTGAATTTTAAAAATTAAGTGAAATTTCTCTGGATGGAAGTGTGGTGTTGTCCCACTGAATTCAGAATTCACCATTATTGGTGTTACTTGGCTGAAAAAGAGTATGTTTTAAAATTTCACAAGACCTGGTAAAAGTAGAAATGTTGAACAATCTCACTGTTAAACATACAAAAGTAAGCATCTTGTTGAACTACCTCAAAATCTTCTGTGAGCTTATATTGTTAGTTGAAAACTGATTGTCTCCTGCCATCCCACTCGACTGGATAAAAAATGTTCTTTCTCATGGAATAGATTCCTCATCTCTCCTGCTGTGTTTAATTACTCCAGGCGTAAAATGAGAATGCCTACTTAGTTAATCATTTTGTTTTGTGAATTATGTTACCTAGTCTCTTGCTCCCTGGTGACACAGTCACGTCCATTTGCAAAAAAATCTATAATCAAGTAGCACTTTAAGAAGAATAATATGGAAAGTTATGCAGGGAGCTATGTAAAAAAAGTCGAAGAGTAATATTGCTGCTGAAGGTGAGAATTAAGTTCCAATTGCTAAGAAATTTTTAGATGAAGTGGCACTATAAGCTGAATGGTATGAATAATTATAAAGGTCAGTGGGTGAAGAAAACAAATATGAGGAGTAATGCTGCTGCTGAAGGTGGTAATTAAATTTCCAGTTGCTAAGAAATTCTTGAATCAAGTAGTACTGTAAGCAGAATGATGTGAAAAGTTTATGAAGGGGAATATGTAAAGAAAACAAATATGACGACATTGAGGAGTAACACTGCTACTGAAGGTGGTAATTAAATTGCCAACTGCTAAGAAATTTTAAATCAAGTAGCACTACAAGCAGAATGGAAGATTATGAAGGGAAGTACCCAAAGAAAAAAGAGAAGGTGAATGTGAAAATTACTCTACATATTAGAACTCAAAAGCAGTTTGATAGAGACATTGAGAAATCAAACTCTAGAAAGTAGAACTAAACCTAGGGTTGCCTTTTTAACTATTGGTACTGAAGTTAAGAGATGTGGTATGAATGATAACAGTTCCTTGAATAGAGTTGCTGACTTTATGTGGTTCTTGTTAAAAGATGAAGTTTAAGCCATCAAAAGTTCCAGAGGCCTGAAGAGTCCAGAGGTTTTGAGGAGAAGAAAAGGTATTATGGAAAAGAGGGATTGATAGGGTTTTGAATGAGAAACAAATAATCAATGTGCACAGAAATAAAGGGAAGGATCCTCAACAGAAGAAAGTGAGCAGAGGTAAAGATAAGAAGTTGGATATTGACAGTTTGGCTTCTGCGATAGAGGTACGAACACTTGTTATGTATAACAATAGAGTTTGGTCAATTAGATAAGCTGCGATGGTGAAAGTATGCAACTGCATTGGTTTATTGCTATGAGATTATTAGTAGCTTCGTTGTGGAATGTCCTGAGACAAGAAAGGTTGGGTGCTGCTGAGAAAGAGAAGCTTTGGCATCATTATTGTGTGACATCGTAACTTAAAAAATGATCAAAATCTTCACGAGGTACTTTTGGTTTGCCATGGGAGCATAGGTCCATGTGATAAATGATGATGGACCAGATATACTACTATTGATCTTTTTTTTTTTATGGCTACTATTGGTGTTGAATATTACCACCATAATGACTGTTTATATAGTATGTGTTTGGTTCCCTGGGCGTTTATGGATAGGTCATTTATTTGTACTTTTTCACTTTAAATGTTTATTTATATAATGTGTTTGGTTCCTGTTTTTGTTGTTTGGTTGGGCTTCACTTTATACGTTTTTTATTCTCCACCTTAGATTAATACTCATTAAAGTGTGCCGCATCAGCATTTGGTTTCAAGAAACCATGGGGTGTTAGGGGAAACAAAAACTTGACGTTTCCCCAAATGCCCCATGCACAAAAATCAAAGCGTTTCAGTTTTTTACCATTTATTTGATAAATGGTGAAACCAAACAGTTGTTTCATTTTGATTCATCTGTAATAAACACCAACACCTATGTGGCATTGATGTGGTGGTGTTTTTTCAATAAATGCCTACAGAACCAAACACAGCCATGTCAGCAGTCCTCTCCTTGCTTCGTTACCCAAACTGAGCAATTTTAGAGGGGGTGCAAGATTCCCTCTAAAAACACTAGGAGTTGCCACCTAACATGGCTTATCTCCTTTTTTTCTCTCCTTTTCATTAGTAAACTACTATCACCCACTTTCTCTTTAATTATCTTTATCTTTCACTAATTCTTATTTATCTCCTAATATCTCTAATTTCTATTTATCCTCTACCCCACTTTTCATCTATATCTATCTAAAGAAAGTTTAAATTAAAAAATTATTTAAATATTATAATAAAATTATGTAGTAACTTTAAAATATTTATTCAAAACACAAAATAATTATATTAGGTTTAATAATATTCATATTATTAATAATTTTATATTTTTATGAAATTTATAATGAAATTATGTAATAACAATGTAAATTATAATTTTATGGATTATTCAACTTGATAACTAAATAATAGTTTAAAAATATAAATAAAAATTATTTAAATAACAAAATATTAAAAATAGCTAAATAATTATGTAACAAAATATTTAAGATTACATAATTACTTTAAATAAATAAAATTTAAATAACAAAACGATTAAATATTTTACATTTTCTTTAAATATTTAAATAAAAATATTTAATGTAACTAAATTTTAAATAGTTAAAATAACGAAACTATGTAATAGTAGTATAAATTATAATTTCATGGATTATTAAATTTAACAAATCGTTAATATTTTAAATTTTTAAATAATGGTATTATTTAAATAATTAAATAATATTATAAACAATAAATTTTTAAGCACTTTTACTATCAAAATATTAATAACTAAATCATATCTTATATATTATTTTAAAAACAAAAAATAGATTAGATAACAAAATTATGCTATAACTTAAAAAAAAAAATCAAAAGCACATAAGTAATTATAACTAGTGCGGCCCCATAAGATGCACAAAATGTCAATACACTCTACCGCATCCCCGGTGGTGGGGCGTGTTGGAGGTGAGACCCATTCCTCGTCAAAGATGGGGGAATCCACAAATTTTCCCCACCCCAAGGTAATCACTTAAAAATAATATAATTTATGGATATTTTACAAATAGGATAATGGGAATTTGGGGTATTTTCAGAATTGGATTATGATAATTTGGGGGTATTTTATAAATGGAATTGCAGGATCCTAGGATTATAAGAATATGAGGAAAAACTTAGTGATATTTTAAAATCAATATTAAATCTATTGATAGTTTACTAATTTACCAATGGGTTTAGGGAATTATATGCAATCCCTGTTCCTGATTTGGAGCAAAAATATTTTACCCATCCCCACTTTGTCTCTTCACCATCCCTATTTAAGATTCGAGAAAACTTGCTCTGTTCAGAGTGAGTTAAGGTATTATTTATGTTTTATATATTATTTTTTAATAATTATTTATGTTTTATATGCTATTTTAAAATAAATTTAAAATGTTTTCAGTATAAAAATTTGAATATTGAACCATATTTTAAACATTATTTAAAAACAAAAAATAAATTAAATAACAAAATTATGTAGTAACTTTAATAAGAATATAAAATATAAATAAATGAAAAAATAAATATCATTGAAATAGTGGAAGTAGATTAAATAATTTAAAGGTTTTAAAGCTTTTTATTAGTTATTTATTGTATTTTCGTTATAAATATATTTTCATTAGTCGTGTATTTTTGCTATAAATTTTCAATAATTATTGAGATTAAACTATTGTTTTTTGTTAGAGATTAGACTATTAATTTAGTTGAAATTAGGAGTGTTCAATAGGCAATTCAGTTCAATTGGAGATTGTTTGGCTAGGCATACTAATATGGTCGGGTTAGGGAGTTGGTTACTCGAAACCGACCAATCATTAGTGAAAACTAGCCATTGGTTAATTAATAAATGTTTAAATTTTTAATGTTTTAGCGTAATTTACATTAATCATTGTAATTGAATAAATTTTCATTAAATTTTCACAACAATTACTTATTCATAAAAGATATTACTAATTAGCGTAATTTACTAATTTCTATAAAATCAATAATTATAGTTATTATCAAATAATTTAGGAAGCTCTTTAACTAATAATCCATAATTTTTTAAATAAACAATAATTAAAGTATCAGGAAATTAATCTACAAAAAAATACTCTCCAAAGCTACTTAAATAATAGTCCATTATTATTATTCAACTAAATAATTATTAACAATTTTAGGAAAATCAAATTAGGAAATTAATCTATCAAAAATTGTTTCACATTTATTTAAATAACAATCCATTATTATTATTTTAATAAATAATTATGAAATGATTTAGGAAAATAATTAAATCTATCCCCATTGGTCTAGGCTACTTGGTTGACTTCAACCATATTTGGTTTTACATTAATTAACAAATGATTTACTTTTAATTAAAATCCATGTAATTTACCATAATTACATTCAATTACTATAATTACATCACTTTGATTAATAGTAAATAATTTAGGCTTAAAAAGTAAATAATTTATATTAATTCACATTAATTTATTGTTATCGTAAATAATTTTTGGAAATTATCATAAAATATTGTAATTTAATTTAATGTTAGTTAATTAGTTATAGAAAATTATTAGAATTGTAGGGGTGACAATTTTCCATGTAAAACTAGGGCCCTACCCTATGCCACCCGAATGGGGCAAGTTTTCTCGAATTTTAAATAGGTATGGGGAAAAGATAGGGTGGGGACGGGGAAAATATTTTTCTCTAACGATGTTTGCATATGATTCCCCAAACCCGATGTTAAATTTGTAAAATATCAATAGAATTAATATTAATTTTTAAAACAAGTCTATGTTTTTCATATATTCTTATAATCCTAGGATCCCATAATTCCATTTATAAAATGCCCCTAAATTGTCATAATCGAATTCCTAAAATACCTCCAAATTCCCATAATCCTATTTGTAAAATATCTACAAATTAAATTATTTTTAAGTGGTTGCCTCGAGGTGGGGAAAATTTGGGGATTCCCCATCTCCGATAGGAAATAGGTGCCCGGCCTCGAACCCGCCCCATCACCAAGGATGAGGCGGGGATGGGTAGTGTATTGACTACAGGGGCGAGGGACTATGAGGAGTGCCCCATCCTGTGCATCGCACAAGGCTTACTAGCATATATACTAAATTAATGTTAAGCCACATCAAATGGCCTCTCTGTGCTCTATTACCTAAGGGAGCAATTCTAGAGGGGTGCAAGATTCCCTCTAGAAGCCCATGTAGTTGCCGCCTGAAAATGGCAATCTCCAATTTTCTTAAATGGTAATTTAAGAGGGAAGTTGCAAATAACAGAGTTTCAAATTCTTCTCACTATCAAAGAGCATAAGCATCTAGTTAAGGTGGTGTTCAGTGTGTGGATTGGCCACAATATATTCAGTTTCGTGCCATTGGCTGTGGTGTGGATTGATCCACACTATCTCATGGATTGGTTCACACCACAATCTGTTTTATCATCCACGGGTTTATCTTATGGGCTCGCTAACAATGTGATAGTGTTCAATTTGCTTGGCATTCTGTTAACAAAACCCGTGCATCACACGGGTCCTGAATAGTATTTTCTTATATGTAAGGTTGCAGCGGGAAGAATTGCTTTGAAGAGTAGAATGTGCAACTTGTCTAGAGTTCCAGCAGCTCATTGCTTTAGGTTATCTACAAACAAATTTACAGGGATGCGTACAAACAAGTCATACAGAAAGAATCCTTAGTTATATTACCAATTGAAAAAAATCATATCTTCTGAGGTGACCAAAAGGGTGAAAAGGAGAGAAAATTCGAAGGGTACAAGTTTGTGATAGATATGTATATGCATATATTTGTTCCAATGTTTTGAAAACTGACGAAAACCATGATTTGTTCCGAGGGGGAGATATTTCCAATGTTGGGCTGGGTGCCCTGTTTGCAAAGTATTTGGAAGGATTTTGCTTTCAGGAGATTGCATCAGGGGGGTGTCAGATGCATGAATTCAGATCTGCTTCTCACAGAGTAGGCCTCACACCATCCTCACATGGCAGAAATAGAATTAGCTGAACGCTATAACTGTTCAGCAGGCTGTAGAACCAATGGTAAGACTCCACACTAGTCTTAAAATACATGAGGCCATAATCAAACTCATTTAAGGCATAGACAAAGAGGGTGGAAATAAAAACGTGGGATAGAAAAGGAAACATAGGTGTGCTTCTTTCTAGATTATAAACAAGACCATCCCCACGAAACTCTAGTGATCAACTCTAGATTAGACTCTACATGATGAAGAAATGCATCAACTCGTATCACCTCGCCTACGTGACTCTACTCTATTAAGAGGTTATTTGGATAATGTTGCCCTTCGAAAAATTTGCCATTTAACATTGGAATCTCACATAATCCTCTAATATAACATGCTTAATTATTATAATACATGCAATATCATAATTTAATTTAATATATAAAACATTACCTTTTCCATAATATCATATACAATGCTTAAAAAATATTATATAATATGTAAATAATATAGAATTTTGTATTTGATAATATACAATTTATTATAATACAATATTATATTACATGGTTTTCAAAACCAGACTGAACCGGACAGTCGAACGGGAAAAAGCTGGTAACCGGTCAGCCCTCGGGTCCGATTTTACTAAAAACCATAAATTTTTAAAAACCGTTGAAAAAATCAGAAAATCGCTGACCTGTGCGGTCGAACCGCTAAACCGTTCAACCCGGGCAGCAGTTCGTGGGTTGCTCTTTTTATTTTCAATGTTTTAAATAAAAAAACCCTTCTCCCCAACCCGGTATGAATGTTTAGTCAATTTAGCTTTAGGGTTTCTCGACTTCCCTCTTCTTAACCCTCACACCCAACTGACCACCTGTGGCGGCCAACACCTCCAGTGTCCGACCGGCAATGGTGAACTTGCTGGCAGTAGTAAGAGTTGGCGGGCCTTGCAGCGGCTAACACTTGCAGTGGCGGATGGCGAGCTTGCCTGCGGCCAAGTTTGCAACGGTGATTTTGCAACGACAGGTGAGGGTTTCTAGCTGTAGTAACAGTTGCAGCCACTTGCATTGACAATCACCTGTGTCAATCAACAGGGATCTTGGGTCCTCTAAGTAGCATTCTAGAGATGTACATGGAAGAGTTCGACAACACCATGCTCACCAATGTGGGAGGGGTGGCAATGACGATTAAGCACGCATGTTGGGATACGGTGGAGAGAAAGATATGGGGCTCAATTGTCTGCACTAAAACTGTGGCAGTGGCCTTGGGTGGCTTTGCTCCTCATACAAACACCACTTCTAAGCATGCATTGGTGGGGCTGCTCTGGTCAACCTGTAGTGAGCTGGGGGCTCATGGCATCAGGGTCAATTGCATCTCCCTTTTCGGATATGCTACCCCATTGGCCTACAATGCCTACAATTTGGACCCAGATAGCATGGAAGCTGTCACTTGTGCTGCAGCCAACTTGAAGGGCACTAAGTTAAAGTCCGCCCATATAGCAAAGGCTGCTTTGTTTCTTGCTTCAGACGAAGTAGATGGAGGATTCACAGTGGTTAGTCATAGCTATTCCACCATCCAATAAGAGAGAGAGAGACAAAGAGAGATTTATTGTCGAAGTTTTGTGGTTTTATTTTTCTGTATTTTTTGATTTTTTTTTGTATTTTTTAAAAATTTTCTGTATTTTATTTTTATATTTTTTATGTATTTCGTACTATATTATTTTTTATTTAGATAGTTTTATTTTTTATTATTTATAAATATATTTTTTATTTTTAATTTATTTATGATATCACGGGTCAAACCGTTCAACCTAGACGGTTGAACCACTTAACCGGAAACTGGTCCCCTGACCGGTTCAGTTTCCGGTTCGTTTTTAAAAACCTTGTTGTATTATGATTTAAACGTAAAAATATGAAATAGACGTTATACAGGTTTTCCACATTCAAATATCAAAATGCCCAATAACTTCACTGTAGTTAAAGAAAGTGGAAAAACTGTTGCACTTTTAAACATGAATTCCTTCAGCCCAAATTGGATGGAGGAGTATAAATATGTAAAACTTTGTATTTTGCATATAAATAAATAAATAAATATATATATATATATATATATGTGTTGTTTCCAAATTTAGCCCTATGAAATGTAAACAAGGAAAGAGTATGGACAAAGTTAGATTCATCAGTAAAATATAATTCAAAGGGTAGAAACAAATTAAACCAACAGTAAAGTGTATGTATGATTGGGAAAAGATAGGATGCCTTACAGAACAGCCCAAATCTCCCACAGTGGTCTATCTGAACTCCTGTGATAGGTTATGTTTTATCGGCCAGTTTGTTTGATTCCCTGAAACTCCGCTAATGCTTGGGAGAAGATATATAAAAGATGAAGTCGGACCTGCTGTAGACCTACAATTGTTGATTTTGCTGTGGACCCAGTGAATGTGTTCTTTGCATAACTAGTGTTAGTAATGGATATTATTTATTTATTTATTTTTTGTTTTCAATTTCTTAACACAACGATTTCCTTTCCCCTGTTTTTCGAGTCCAGATTTCCTATTCACTCTTTATCTATAGTGAGTTGGAGTCACACATCTGGCTCCAATTCACGGCGGATAGAGAGTAGGTTGGAAATCCCGAGTGTAAGCATTGTTTGTGTTCGCATATGGAACTAGAATAAAAGAGGGTACTGTTGATGTATTAATCACACCCAGTGACCAGTTGTACTTTTCATTGTGAAAAGTTGAAGAAAGGATCCAATCCAAGGAATTCAAGTTATGTGAATAATAATAATTTTCAATTAGAAAGCCCTTCTCAGAGTATGTGAACGACGACTTCTAACTTAATAATTTCTACCCAAGTTTCAGAAGTTTTAAAACAATCATATAATAATTTTTTGTTCTTAAAGGGATTATATTTTCTACCAAAAAACTCACATAATAATTATTTGTCAGTGGCCAAAAGAGGGGAAAGTTGGATTCAAATAATCAAACCATTTAAGTTGAAATCTACTAGAGTGAAGACTTACCAAATGACAAATATCTATATGAGGGTTTGGAGTGTGCAGATCATTTAGGTTGTTTTGGTTCAATTCATATACCAAAAACCAGTAGATTAGGGTTTAGGGAATGAAGAGAAGGTAAGGAWTAAGGAAGAGATGAAGAGTGAAAATAGGAAATGAAGAAAAAAAAATGCAATTTTTGGATTCATGAATTGTGGGTTGTGTTGTGCAAATAATAGGTGGCGTTCATTCATTGAATCTACAACAAAGTCAATGCCCATAGGTCTACAGCAAATATGGCGTTGGTACATGTGAGGTGGACTGCGGACATGGACTATACTGTCATAAACCTAGGGCTATAATGGGACCAGATTCGGATTGGATGATCAAAATCCGCATTCCATCCGATTAATGAGAATTTACGTCTGATTTTAATCCAAAATCCAACTGGATTTAAAGATTCGGATTGGAATTCGAATCATAGTGGACTCTGACTCTGATCAGATTTGGATTAATCCAATTCCGCTATGTTTTTTTTTTTTAAATACCAGAAAAGTTAATTAAAAATTTATTTATTTTTCAACTTTTATATATAATGAATTAATATAAACATAATATATTAAATTTATTATTATATATAGAATATATTTTTATAATTATATAAATTAATATAATCAGATTTAAATTTTAATTGGATCGGATAGGGTCAAATCCAATTCCGATCGGATATAGATTATAACATCCAACTTTGTTCAAATTACATAAATACATCATCTTCACACTCTAAGGCTGTTTAGTTTGAATTGATTAATTCAAACCCCACTCTCTTTCCATGGTATTTGTAAAAGCACCACGGGCCGTGTTACGTTTGCTGTTTTTGGCTTAGGGAAAGCTGAGAATAGACAGGTATAATGTGGATTGATTGTGCCTGAAGTAAGTGCCATGAGCCAGCATGGCACGACAAATTGGGGAAGAGGCCCGGCACAAAATTCTTTTTTATAAAAGAAACAATTAAGAAAATACAAATTTATACATCCCTGTGATTTCCAATTGCTTTATTCAACCCTCCTCCATCACGAAATTGTATTTCCATAAGGGAATGGCAAGGTTTTTTAAATGAAAAATTAATAAAGATATGTTTTTCAGTAAATATGTATATTATAGAGGTGTTTAAGTAAATGACCCTAATATGTATATTTATATATTATTAACGTGGACCATGCGTGCTGATTCACATCGTGCCGGGGGCGGTCCACCCAAATTTGAGTAGGAATTCAGTTGTACTCGTACGCGTTGTACGCGTGCCACTTATATATTAAAAATAACGTGGCAGTGGCACAAATAATTCGTTTGCCTATAGTGGGACCACATAGACCTTGAGGGCTTCTATTAACTGATGGCTTGGTCACGTCACGTGTTGCTTCAATTACATGGCAAGAAATTCAAGCAAACATGTGATTTGCTGTCATTGGCGAGAGCCGTGAGGCAGGGAAGGACCAAGCCAAGTGCAGATTCCCTCTCCCTCGTAAAACTCGCCCCCCCCCACTCTCCCCCTAAATTAATCCTATTTATAGCAAGGGTGATTCTGTAATTTCGTATGCTCTAGGGGAGCATTTTCGCCAATTAAAACAAGTACATGCTTTTGTTTAACGAATCTAAGCTACGGAATTTACCAAAACGACCCTCAAACGGGCGAGTGGGCAAGGTTATCTTGGTAATTTAAGAACCGGCGCGCGACGCGCGTTATGTTCTCAATTTGAATTCCCGCGGCCTGTTCAAAAATGGCTCGGAACCGAGCCGCTGTTTGAAATTCCTAACCCGCCAGGTGAACAAAATCTCCCACCTTTTTTAACGGTCTCCTAATCTCTTTTTTCCCTCTCAGAACTCTGGATCTCTTCTCCACGACAATACTTTCGCTGCCTTCAACTGATCTATAATTGACTTCTACGGTTATTTGATCTGTGACACCAGAAGAAGTAGATATCAAAGACGAGGAGGAAAAAGAACTAAAGAGATGTCTTCCATGTCTGCGTTTCGAGAGCCCGAAGCAAGGCATCATGCCTATAGCAGGAAGCAGAAATCCCTTGGACTCCTGTGCTCTAAGTAATCCTTGCTTCTTTTTCTTTCTAGTAGATCTTGCTCCATCATCCGGCCCCCTCATATCATATGACTCCTTTCACTATGTTTTCGGCAGCTTTTTGACTTTGTACAATCGAGATGGCGTTGAATCAATCGGACTGGATGATGCTGCAAACCGATTAGGTTTTTGTCAGACCCTTAAGCTCCTTTCTTTGCTTTTATTTTGCTTATTCTGTTTGTTTTTTGTTTCTAGCGTCTGAAGTTTTGATCTAGGTTTCTTAATATTTATGAGGTTTCAGGAGTTGAGCGGCGGCGGATCTATGACATTGTCAATGTATTGGAAAGCGTTGGAGTATGATCTCTCATCTCTTCCCATTTGTTTTGTTTCAGTTCTTGAGATGGGCAAATCCTTAGCAATTTAGGTTTTTGATAGGTCTTGGCAAGGAAAGCGAAAAACAGGTATTCTTGGAAGGGATTTGGGGGAATTCCTCAGGCTCTAAAGGAACTTAAGGTAATTTAATTTTTCTGCTTTCCTTTGGCTTAAAGAGATCTCAGTGGGGAAATTTTCAAAAGATTCCCTAATTCTGCTATGATCTTTGATTAGGAAGAGGCTTTGAGGGAAAACTTATTTAACACTTTTGATGCCTGCAACTATGGAAAAGTAGGTTAAACTTTTATAAGCTTTTTTCCCATTATTACATTTCTGTTTTTTCTTCTAGTGCTAATTGAAAGTAGCCTTTTTCTACTTCAGATCTCAGATGATGAAGATGAAAAATCCTTGGATCCTAACACCGTAAATGGGGATGACAAATCAAGCCCCAACTCCGTTCTTAAGCCTTCCACATCTTCAAAAGCTGGTAATTTTCTCCTAAGTTCATCTTATTTTCCGAATTAAACAACGGAAACCTTTTATGTATTTACACAACCTCTCTACAATCTTAAGCATCTCATGTTCACTAACTTCTAGGAAAGAAAAAAAATATAGCTTAGAAGTGTTTGAACTGACAGGTTATCTGGGATACGAAATTTGATCATATTTGATTTGTTTGTTTTTTTTTTTTTTTTTACATTTTATGTGTATGCAGACAACAGAAGAGAGAAATCTCTCGGACTTCTTACACAGAATTTTGTCAAGCTCTTTCTCTGCTCCAATGTAAGCTCAAATTTTGCGATTACTCACCTGTTACAGTTTTGTTGTTATGGAATTCTAATAATTTTTGTTCCTTTTCATTCAGGCGGATTTGATCTCACTAGATGAAGCTGCAAGGATATTGCTTGGTGATGCCCAAAATTCTTCACAGATGAGAAGTAATGATCTTGTTTTGTTATATTTCATTTGGAATTATCACTGACATAATTAGGTAGATATTTTGGAGAGAAAGCACAGCTCCATGACTAATACTCTTTTCATAAGATAACTCTGCAGCAAAAGTTAGAAGGCTATACGACATTGCAAATGTATTGTCTTCCATGAACCTCATTGAAAAGGTAAGATATTTCATCATTGGGAAGGAAGGAAATATAAAAGGATTATGCTTGTTCTGTTTTGAAAATCCCCATAGCTTCAATTTTCTCCTGGTTGATTTGCAGACTCATCACTCAGAGAGCAGGAAACCAGCATTCAGGTGGTTGGGGATGAAAGGAAAACCTGAGAACGGATTTACCAATTTGGATTTGAAAGACACTAGGAAAAGAGTGTTCGGGGCTGACATTACTAACACTAATCTTAAGAGGACTAAGATGGTTCATTTGAAAGATGAGAAGCTAAACCAGAATACGAAAGCACAAATGCAAAACCAGATGGATCAAGAGGATTTGAACAAACATATTGATAGAAATCAGGCGGAACAACAGTCAAAGCAGAGTTCCAAAGGTTTTGTGTTTGGTCCTTTCAGTCCAGTTGGGATTCCCAAAGTCAGTGATTCCGATAAGAACAGCTCCAACAGGGTGCAAGATTGGGAGAGTCTAGCCTCTACTTATCGTCCTCAATATCACAATCAAGGTATAGAACGGGAATGACTTTAACATTAGTTTACTTCTATGCTATGTTCATTGCATTAATATGCACAGCCCAAACATAAATGGGTTAATTAAATTGAAGTAGTAGTGGATTGGATGACGATTATGGTGATGCAATGATATTTATTTTTTACGGCCTTGTTCCTTTTTGTGCGTGCATTACTCATATTGTGCCATTCATATACTATGTTATATGATTATCAAAATGGTTGGCTGTTTTCCAATCAAAGATCTGATGGCCGTGATCTGTGCTGAACCCCGATCTCTGGTTTGGTCTGGTCTTCACAGTCACATTGCCAAAAGTGAACAAGGGAATGTGCTTTTTCAAATCATCTGCAAGCTGTAGGAATGCGCTCTTGTACTACTGCTAGGAAGACAACTTGGTGCAGAGCTGCTTGTTATATTAAATGAAAAGTATAGTGACTAACATACAATGGGTTGTGTGTACAGCTTTGAGTGACCTATTTGCTCATTACATGGAGGCATGGAAGTCATGGTACATTGAAGTTGCTGGCAAGAAACCAATACAACAGCTCTCCTGATTTACCCCTTTTCTTAAACTCTCCATTAACTAAGTAGAGATGTACAATAATGAAATGCCATTTTTTACTCCATTTTTATTGAGAAAGAAGAGATGGCCTTAAAGTTGGGTGTGTATGTACTCTATGCACCAACTGGAATGGCTGTCCTCCACTCCACATCATTACATAATGTCGACCTTTTTCTTTGTTTTTAGCATTTGATGATCCAGCTAAGTTGTCTGTACTATGCTTTTCCTTTTCCATTTTCTGTTCATTGTAATTTTAAATGGGATAAAAATCAATTTTTTTTTAGTAACTCAATGTATCTTCTAATTCTACGTTGCTACAAGAAAATTTGGGAATTGAATCTGTGGAGCATTAGCATATGATGATGGTATATTGCTTGAATTTTAGCTCACAGTGGCCACTGGAACTATTTTACATTCAAAACCATGGGCATTGTAAGATAAGTGCATTATGCAATTGATGCAGTTTAGGTGACAGACAATGGGTCGTGTTCGACCGGTCGTTACTCGTTAGCAAGCTGCAAGCCTAGTGTTGCCTGAATTCTGAAAAACCTAACCAACTCGTATCGGCTTGTTCATTTTCAAGGTTCGGTCTTGTCTTAAATTTTCAAATCCTATTTGCTTATACGAATAAGACGCAGGGCGAACGAAATTACTTGACAATACACATACTCGTCATCTAACATTTAATCATCTCTAGAATGTACAATACCCGAACCTCTTTTTCGATAGTTTTGAACTTAATACATTGTGCAGACTACACGGTTGGATGTGCACGTCGGGCGCGCGTAGGGCGGACCCATGCGGGTTCGATCAGACTTGTAGTTGAGTTTGGATCTGCTACCAATAATACGCTTCCCACATGTTCCAAAGTTTTGTCACTATTATACTGATGTCAAACCTAATAATACCTAATTATTATCTTTCTCTGTTTTACAAACAAATTAAATAAAAAAGTTGAATGAAAAAACCTAAACGGAATCAAACACATAGCTTGTCACGCGTTAATTTTCGAATTTCAGCGTCTAATATTAGATGGGTTTCACCTATAAGTGGGCCGTCCAAAAACTAATGCCACCGAGTAGGCAAGGATTAGTACCGGATCCCGATCTTGATAACGTGGGCTTAGTGGGAGTGGGAGTTATAGTGGGCTCAGGAGTCAGGATCGCCGTACTTGTTCCAATTTCTTGTCTAAAGAGGCAGACGTTCCGTCCGTAGACCAAGGTTTCGTTTGTCTCAGACTCTCTGCTCTGTGCTCTCAAGTCTCAACCAACATCCAACACTCAGCGTGCGTAAAGGCGTCTGTTATTGCCAGAATCAGCGATTCCAAAACTCGTCGGTTGAACTCTGGATGAATTAGTAATCGTGCACTGCGAAAATAATAATATGTAGTAGGGGTGGTTGCAGCGTTGTAGACCGTGGAAGAGGGTTGGGAAACGATGGAATGCGCTGCGAAGGGACGGGGAACGCGCTGCATCGGTCCAGCTACAAGACGTTGTGGTCGTTGCGGAGCCGTCGCTTACTGTTCCGTTTCTCACCAGGCATGATAAAGTTCATTATTTTTCAACTCTATTAAGTTGTTGCTGCTAGTTGCTACTGAATTTCAGTGACAGAAGCCGGAAAACATAGTTATGGCTGTACAATTCATCCGTGTTAATGCCCGAAACTCAAATTTCTCTTTTGATTTAATGGAAAGCGTAGTTTTATTTGGGTCGGCACTCAGCTCGTTGGTTTAGTTTTATTTCGGAAAATATGTGAAGGGCGTTGATTTTTTGATTTTATCTCTTATTATGTTTGTTTCTCTTCAGCTTTCACATTGGAGAGATCACAAACAAGAATGTGAAAGGTTAGAACTACAAATGAGGTCCGCAGAGGTCTTGCACGATTTCCCCTTTACATTCTCTAAGGAAGCTACGCTCCAGGTGACTGGTAATTTGGTTGTTGGCAGTTGGTAGATGGCTCTTTATGCCAAAGTCGACTAAAATTTCTATCCCAGTTTTGTTCTTTCTGTCTGCATGACTAGATTAGTGATAAGTTTCATTGACATGCTTCTTCTGTGTCTTCTTCTTTTGAATTAGGTTTGTGAAAAACAGGTGACTCGTTGCTCCTTTTTGATGACAAGGAGACTTCATCTTGTCGGAATGTGGAAATATGAATGTAGTTGTGGGACTTCGGTTGCTTCTTCTGACCATTTAAGGTTTACTTTTATCCTCTCCGTCTGCATGGAGATGTGGGGGTAGAAACTACATTGTGCGCCCATCGTTTTGTTCTTGTATCCTATATAAATGTTCGATGATAGGAACCTAAATGCTTCTCTAAATGGAAGTGATTAAGTCAATAATTTGTGCCATACTAAAAACCTATGGTTATCAGAATGTTATAGTATCATTGGAATTAGAAACATCATAAATACAATAAATGGAACTGTAGAAGCATCCACCATTACCACTCTCTGGTCCTGTAGTTCTTCAACATGTAACCTATCATATTGAGATGCGTTGAGAAGCTAACCTATTGTGGATGAAGGAATGCTTTGTTATACCATGCCAATGTTTTTTAACTTTGTTAGTTAACCTTACTTCATATTGGAGCATATTATGTATTAAAGACAACTACTATAGTCTTAATTTTTATTCAGTCATTTCTCATTGCTATTACCTTAATAGCCATACTTAATGATATTATTTTGTCCCCATGATCTATGTATTGCAACAGATCATGATGCAATAAGTTTATGCATGATGCAATGATATTATTCAGTTATTTCTCATTGTTATACCTTCAAGATCTAATGATGCAATAAGTTTATGTAAAGTTAGACTTATTGAAGTAAAAGAGGCACTAAATAAGAAGGACAAAGGAAAGGCGTTAGGATTTGATGGGGTTCCAATAGAAATGTGGAAAAGTATGGGAGAGGTAGGCTTTTTATGACTAACTAAGCTATCTAATAAGATAGTAAAAGAAAAGATGATGCCTAATGATTGGAGAAATAACAGTATGATGCCAATATTTAAGAACAAAGGTGATATACAAATTTTAATAACTATTGAGAGATTAAACTCATAAGCCACGCTATGAAACTTTGGGAGAGAATAATTGAATAAAGATTACAACTTGAAACAAGTGTATTAGAAAACCAATTTGGATTTATGCCAGGGAGATCAGCCATGGAAGAAGAATGATCTTCATATTGTGTTCATGGATCTAGAAAAGGCTTATAATAGAGTTCCTAGAGAGATAATATGGTGGATCTTGAAAAAGAAAGGGGTTCAAAGTGGGTATATAGACCTAATTAAGGATATGTTGAGGGGGGCAACAACCAAGGTTCAAAGTATCGATACGTTATGCATTTCAGCTGTATCGTATCGATACTTAGAAACGACCGATACACACTTTTTTTTTTTTTAGTTTTTTTTCAAAGTTTGGTTTTTTGGGAAGCTTATAAGATGTTTTTTATTCTTAAAACAAGTTGGGGGTCCAAAACACCTGGAAACAGGTGTTTCGGACCGTATCTTTTTCAAAAGATATGATACGATACGCCCGATATGGGGCGTATCGTATTGATACTTTGAACCATGGCAACAACCAATGTTAGACCACTAGTGGGAGAGACTTTGGATTTTACAGTTATGATGGGTCTTCACCAAGGTTTAATGCTTAGCCCTTATTTATTTGCATTGATCATAGATGAATTAACTAAACACATTTAGGAAGAAGCTCCATAGTGCATGTTTGGGGATGACATTGTTTTAATTGATGAAACTAATGAAGGATTAAATGCAGCCCTAGAAACAAGAGGTTTTAAAGTAAGTAGGGCTAAGACTGAGTATATGACATGTAGATTTAGTATAAGAGTGTAAATCAGGATACACTTAGGATTAAAGACCAAGAGATAACTCAATGTGCCCATTTCTAGTACCTTGGTTCAATAATTCATAACAAGGGAGAGATTAAGGAGGATGTCATTCAAAGAATTAGAGTAAGTTGGGCAAAATGGAGGTGTGTATTTGGACTTTTGTGTGATAGGAGACTACCACTTAGATTATAAATAAAATTCTATAAAACAGTTGTAAGGCCAGCTGTGTTGTATGGAGCAGAGTGTTGGGCAGTTAAGAAACAACATGTTGAGAAAATGAGCATAATGGAAATGCAAATGCTAAGATGGATGAGTGGAAAAGTTAGAAAAGATAGGATCAGGAATGAGGCCATCCGTAGAAACCTAGGAGTAACTCCAATAGGTGATAAAATGAGAGAGGGTAGACTAAGATGGTTTAGTCACGTGCATAGAAGGCCACCAGCAGCTCCTGTTAGAAGAAGTGATTTGTTACAAGTGGGAGGGGCTAGAAGAGCTAGGATAAATCAAAACGAATGTGGGTAGAAGTAGTAGAAACAATTTAAGCACTAATAAATTAACAGTGGATATGACTTTTAATAGAATGGATTGGCAAAACAGGATTCTTGTAGCCAACCCCATATAATTGGGATAAGGCTTGGATGATGATGATGTATGTGTGCATTTCTCTATCTCTTCTCTTTTTTTAAACTAGCAAAAGGATAGGTGAGCAAGTGTCTTGAGAGGTTTGTTTTATATTCAGAAAAAGTGGCATTGCTAATGAGCTGCTTCCCAAAGCAAGCTTTGGAATTGTATAATAACATTTAAGTGCCATAAGAGCATTATTTATTCATGAAATGTAATATATGATTCAACAAAATAGCTGATTACTTGTAATGATTTAGAAAATAAAATACTGCTGTAACAGCAGTTTTAACCATTGTAACAGTGGTAATGGACAAAGCCTGCCATTATTATCTCCAATACCTTTCTTTTAGATCAAGATTAAGGTGGTTGGCAATTAAGGTATTGCACCTTTATAATGGTTATGATGCTGCAATTGTCATGTGATTCTTTTTACTATTTTCTATCTGTATTTTTATTACTAAATACACTGTTGTATATTTTTCTTTGATTTAAATTGCCAAGAGTGCTACAAAAGTTAACCTTAAAATTTTGTGGTAATATATGTATAAGGGATAATTGATGGTGTTCCTTTAAAATTTTTATTTTAAATTTATTGTAATAACACAGTCTTTCTTTTTTTATTGTTCTGGTGTGTATTCACAGGATAATTGATGATTGGAATCTTCCAAGCACTTTATGCCCATGCTGTGGTAATTTTCCCTTAGCTTTTAGTTTTTGTTGCTTGCAACCATCATTCATTCTCAGTAATAGATGATACTTTTATTGGTTACCTTGAAAATCATGTAGAGCCAATAACTCCAATATCAATCTGTTTGAGAAGTTGGAAAGACTACTATGAGTGGCGGTGCCTCCCATTGCATTCACCTGTTGCTTTGTTACTCCACTGGGTATGCTATAAGTCTATTTTTGCTATAATATTCCTTTTTCATTGGGTGTTTTCGTAACCTATTAGACTGTTGTTGTAATCTCAAAGGATGCCTATGGGCTTACCTGTTATTGTTTGTAATTTGATTGTTTTTCTAACATAGCAAGTTGATGTTGGCTTTAACCCCTGCTTACCTTTTCCCAAAGAAAGGCCTAATCATATTTTATAGGGAAAAGAGTCAAAAGAAACTATGGGACAGCTTCCTTATATTGATATTCTTCTCATGCTTAACCACAGGTTTGTCTGTGATATTGTTATATATCCCCAAGATGTTATGGACCTATGGTTTGGTGACCAAGTTATAAGATTAATTTTCTAGTGTTTTATTAAGTTGTTCAGTGGAAAAAAAGAATTAAAAAATTAGTCTTTACAGGGGTACATAAATTCAGTGGTTTTATGTTTAGCAAAGGAAATAGTTACATCATAAATTAGGGTGCAAAATAAATCAAAGGATACAAAAAATCTCTGCTGGAATTTTACACATAACTTTACTATATCAATAAAATTCAAAGCAGGTTAGTAATAAAAAAATACCTCCGATGTATGAGATGACTTTGATCTATGTCACAAAATACAGGTAAAATTCATTGTCAATAATCACCTACTTCTGTTTGTTTATTGTATTTAGACATCCTTCATGCTGTTTCTATTTTCTATAATTTATAACTTCTTTAGTTATTGATTTGTATATCTATTTTAATTTCAGACACTTACAGTATACCATGCTATTCAACTTGCTACTATAACAAGATCAGTTGATGGAAGTAGCAACAAGATCCATATTCACTATCTAGGTATATCTTTACTTGCTTTCTGCTGCTTGAGCAATAATTTTTGAAGTAATTTCTTTTTCTCATGTGCAGTGGTACTTTTATTTAGGAGAACCTGCAAATTTAGTTATCTTTTTGCTAAAATTTGTTTCTGTCAATATGGTAGTTTTATATTGGATATGCAACTTAGATCACATCCTTTTCTATATTATCCTTTTCTTCTGAATTGCTTCTTGGTAATAAAAAACACATAACCGTTTGTGGCTAAGTTCATCCAACAATTCTGGGATTGCTTTATGCTTTTTCTGAGGGGGACTTCATGAAGTGCACCCCATTGGTGAGACATATTCACTTTATGAGAAGTCATTGGTAGTGATGATCATTTGTGGCCCGTCCCAGAAATTTCTGGGCCTGATGCATTATCCAGTGCGCTGTGTGTTACTTTATATTATATAAAGTATAACATAAATTTTATACATATTACTTGTCATAATATATATATATATATATAGAGAGAGAGAGAGAGAGAGAGAATGCTTTTATTATATATTTAATGTTTTTACATTTAAAATCATAGGCCTGGGACCTGGCCTGGACTATAGCCCTTGTCAAAGGTGCTAAGCCTATCCTGGGCCTCTGGTTTTCAAAACATTGAAAACATGCTTCATTAATCAAAGGAATCCCATTTCGGCTGAGTTGTTTTGTCTTTTACAAGGGCTACCTCCATTTGTTATGATAAATTATAGATCGAGGAGACTATCAAATTGTAATTGGGTGGATGCGGGGCAAGGAATCAGGTTCATGGATGTCTCTTCATTCTGTTAGGGGCGCATGGTCTTTGGCATCCTGCATAAACACCTTGTTTGGATGGGTCTAAAGACCCGTGATTCGCGAACTCCTTGACAGAGTTGGTGACTATTGTGTTTTCTAGAAGTCAGGAGAGTATTTTATGGATGATATTATTTGTTCTTTTCCCTTTTTTCCTTTTTTTCCCTTTTGCTATTCTGACAAGGACTGCAGAAAGAGTGAACAGTTTTAACTTTTTTCTTTTTAAAGTAAACAAAGGACTTACAAAGGCTTCAGACAAATCTATCTTCCCTGGATGGCTTATGTGCAATTTATGTGCAGTTAATTAAAGCAGGAACCACCCCACCCACCTTCCTCTCTTTGCAAAAGATTGCCAGGAAGAAGGTTTCACAAGATTTCTTGTCTGCCATCCCTTTGGGGGGATCCCTCTCTAAACACCCTTTTGTCCCAGAATTTATTAAATAACCAGGAAATAAATTTAAATACTGGGAACATAAAAACTTAACCCCTCAAGTTTTGTAGAAAAGCATTTGTTGGTCCCAGCTTTCTGAGGTCTTGGAAGGGGTGGATTGGATACTAGCCTAACCTTTGGTATTTTTTGCACCAAGTGGCTGCTCTCAGACTCAAACCTGCATTCTCGCACTGTCCATTACACCAAGCAATGGCCCCTAAAGAGCATTTGATGATAAATGGCGATTAGCTCCTAAATTATGTTTTGTTGCTAGGTCCTTGTATGACATTTAGATTGGTTCCTTTTTTGTGAAACAGTTATTTTTTCTTAATTAGGCTGGTGGGCAGGGCATCCATATTTAACATTTAATTTTTGTACCTCGGAGATATTTTTCATTCTTATTTTCATTTGTCACATGTTAATATTATCATGGATCAGCAAAAATTCTGTTTTGTATTCAATCTCTTATGGCCTTCTATAATCATCTAAGGATTTGGAAAAATGAAGATAATTGTAATGGTGGTCATAAATTTGAATCCATATGTAATAGTTTTGATAATAGCAAGTTGAAAGATCTTTCTTTTTCAAGCAACTTCTCTACCCTCATTTTTTTTGACTTTATAAAAGCTAAGTTCATTAGTTGTCTTTGTTTTTTTTTATAATTATTTCATTATTTGTCTATGTTGTATTATTGTTTTTCTTGTTTTACTAATTTTTAGGTTTTCTTCATGAATAAATATTGGTAGGGCCTGATAAAGAACTTCTTCAACTTGCCGGATTTGCAGAGTTACATGCACTTTTTCCTGGTATACAGGTGCATATGGAACTTGTTGGACCAGCAGTTCCGCAATTTAGGTTGGCTACAGCCAATTATGCCACAGTAGTCTTGTTTATTTATTTTTTCATTTTGAAGACCTATGCCTTATTTAATTTGGTTTTACTAAATCCAACAAAGCCTTCTCCTACCAGGGCAAGTATTGGCATACATAGTAAACATAAGAAGGAAAGAAAATATAAAATTTTCTTGCATTTTCCCTCTTTGATGTTATTTTATTACATCTTTGCATTTGGACTGGCAGGGATGGTGAGAGGATTGATCTTAGGAGTTATGTTCATTGTGTTGAGGTAGATTGCTCTTGCAAATCTTCTAGTGATAATGCCAGTCTTCTAGTTTCCCATGGCAGAAATTCAGCAGTGACTATGCGGCTTCATAAAGGTTTCTATCATGATAGATATAAAGAAATAGTGAAGGTTCTCTCTCTCTCTCTCTCTCACACACACACACACACAGACTATGACACTATTTATGTCAACGTAATTTTTAAACTTTGTATGCAGAGGACCTGGCTTTTCTCAAATTGGGCTTTTGATCATGTGAAATTTCCATCCAATTTCTCCTTTGGTTTTCTCATGATTTTGTCCCATGTGCAGGAATCCTTTCCTCATCTAATCATTGCTTCAAATGCTGGCATTGCTGCTTATTCTAGCTGGTTACCAACAATAGTAGGTCTCCTTTGCCTCTTTAATCCCCATTCCTAATGGTTCATTTTTTAATCTTCTTTAACAACCCAAAAATTTCTTTCCCTAAGTTAAATGTAAGGCTTTTTTGATATTTATTTGTAATTTATAAAATATCCCAGTGTTTCTTGTTGTCAGGAGACAATAAAGGAGATGGATGTCCCCGCTATTTTTTCTGATTACTGTGAAGAAGCTGCGCATTTGGCTGCGTGTTGTATTAGCTCTGTAACAAACCGTCCTCTGAGGCTTCCTGTATGTGCACCTGCCACTTCTTCCCTAATTCTTTCGAACAAAATTGGAACCTGAAGGCCTAAAAGAAAAGAAACAAGAAAACCCTTGAGCAAGAAAAGGGTAAAAACTAATTTACCTATTTTTTTGACCAATAACTGGTTTACTTAATTGGCTTGCATTTTTTGTGACTAGCAGGTTCAATTAAATCCATTTAGGCAGCCAATGGCGGTGGAAGATAGTGCTTTGTTTCTCCCTTGCTACTCAAATTGCTTCGTCTTTGGTATGTAAACTAAGCACGCTTAAGTGATGAATTGGTGTTTGCTATAGGCTCGGAATTTCCATCCAAGGAGCAGTAAGAAAACAGAAATTCTTCAGGCTTGGTGATTGTAATCAGTTTGCACTGACAAAGAAGACTAGTAGATCGAGTTTGATGTACAATCAAACTATATGTGGTAAATGGTACCTGAGGCAGTCTCCAGGAGATGAATTGGCAATTTTTGGTAGTCTGAAAGACTGAAACTTCATGTGACATTTACAGTGAGCCTTTGGTGCATTCCATTTAGTGGCAGCCATCGGTACGTTCCATTTGGTGAAGATCTTTTGTATTATAGGATCGGTGACACAATGTGATTACAACCTATAATCAAAATGCACATTTCATTAGACTAAATCTTTTCTATAGTGAAATTTGACATTTTTACTGATACATCGATGATTTATTGGTGTCGTCTATTGATCCTTGCTGTTAATGCCCATTCAATGCTGTTCGCGGATTGGACTCAGTAAAATATGTTTGATTTCGGGCCGGTGCTCCGGGATTAGAGTCCTCTTAGATTTTTATTATAATATTTTTTACTTATAATTATTTTTTGTAGAAGTTGGTGAACAATGCTGCAAGTCAGTGATATGTTGCCTATCAGAGATGGACAGCTCTTTAGGCTTGTAGGAATTTGGGGCATCAGAGCACGTTTTAGGGACAGATTTTGTGCCTATAGGCTATAGGCTTTACACAGCATCAGCTTTTCTAATATCCACAAATGATCTTTGCTCACGTTAATCGACTCTTCAATTATCAAATTTCTGAGTGGCTCAAAAATCTTGGGAGAGGATTGTAGTGTACCATCAAAACTGAACGAATAGCCACCTCTCGAGTCAGACTGATACACCATAAACCTTCGGCTTTATTAAACTAAATTTGTATCGTCCATAGCTGATGGTCTGCTTGCTTCTTAGGTTCATTTCATAGCTTTGCTCTTATTGTTGAAAGGCATCCCGTATCCAAGTAATGAAATAATGCTGTGGACATTATATCCCAAGTGTTCAGCACCAAACGGGTATGCAGCTGGGCTGCTGGAGAATTGGAACTGAACGAACCATGCTATCTTAACGTGTTTCATCGCTCGGTTTGAAACTTGGTTTTCTGGGATTTAAATTTTGTTCAGAGATTTCAACAAAATATTGACTGTTCGGTCACGATTTATTTAAATTTGATTATTTGGGATTAATTTTTTTTTCAGAGTTTTTGACCCAAAGATTGAATTCACCCGCTGGATCATCACTCTTCTCCCTTTCTGATCCATGGATGAATATGGCATTACTTACTGTTTAGTACAAAATATGATGCGACGGCCGACGGGAGATGGGATATGGTTTCTTGCTCCAACGTCCAGTAACCTGTCGTTTCATGCAGATACAGTCGTTAAATAAGGAAAATTCGAAAACTTTGGTTCTTGTAATGAAAGGGGGAACTTTCCAGTTTCCCCCAATTATCAGCAAGCCCCAAACTACATTTTCTATAACATAAAATAACAAAAAAATATATTATATTTACATTACAATCACCACCTCAAGGCAACCAATATGAAAATATCATTTTCGAGGTCCCTATCTCAAATAGCAGATGTGGAAAACAGTCTCTCAATCTGCTACTTTCAGCTCAAAATTGCAGACTTTGCTAATCAGTCCACTGGTCTCCTAGATGTGCGTCAGCGGTGCCCCTAGAATCCATAGCTTGTGTACAGGGCCTCTTTGCATATGCAGGTGTTGTTTACTTGTTTTTTTCCTCTTCGGGTGGTTCAGAGCTATTCATGGTTTTCCGAGTGTCCACCTGTACCCCTCTTTTTTACAACAAATAAAAGTTCTCGTTATCGATGAATCAATAGAATTTCAACATGGTCCTGTGCCAGATCCACCGAATACCAAAACTTGATACTGCTTTACGCCCTTGGTGAGTTTCAAGCAAGCTTATTAGACATGGCTTCTACTGTTCCCAGCAAGGATCAATTAGCTGCAAAATGGAAAATAACCTGCAACTTCATCGCTAAATAAAGATTTTTCTGAGCAGATAATAATAAATGTTAAAGAACTTGTCAATTTTACTCTTTAATAAAAAATCAATACTTCATGCAATGGCCTTGAGTTTATTAAAATATATGTGATTCTTAGCAATACTATAAAATGCTACTTATCTAATCAATATTATTAGACCATTCACCAAACCAAAAATGCCACCAGGCCATATCATATGTCAAGCGATTCAATCACTAGGTTGAACCAATGACCCATGTCAGTCATATTATAAATATATTATGCATATACCATAATGTGTAATTGTCTGTGGTTTAATGGTTATTTTTCTAATTTTCTAGGTCCAAGCCTTGTAAATCATGTTTTTTTTTTTTGTTTTGTAAAAAGCACATATATATTTGGTGAATGTAGGCATTAAATAAATAACATACAAACACAGAAAATGTTATAAGGTTTTAAAAACCGGATTGGACATGTAACTGTTTTGGGGACCAGCTCTCGGGTTGAACGGTCTGACCATCTGGTTCGAACGGATGGTCCGTTCTGACTTAAAAAATAAAATAAAATAAATAAACAATGGCCAAAAAACTATTGTCCGAGTCGACAGTTCAACCACCTAGGTCAGAGGGTTGCTGACCAAATAAACAATCTTTGGCCAAAAAGCGGTTTTAAGGTGAAATGGAACCAGAAAACTGACCATTTACTGGGTCAACCGGTCCAACCATCTGATCCGGTCCGGTTTTCAAAACCACGAATGTTATGGCTTAATATAACATACAATTCTTTGTCAATAAAAGGTTTTAGTTCTTGTTGCCATTTTACAATATATGATGAATCAGTGACCCAGGTATGTCGTTGAGCCAAGACAGTTTTCAACAATTTGCCTGGCTTCATAGTGTGGGTGAAATGGTTCTTGAAAAATCTAAAAACTAAAGCTTCAAAAATCATAATGCCCTCCAGCTCCTTTGCCTGACGGTCCGACATCCAGTCCAGTCCAAGTCTTACAACAAATTCTTTCTTGTTGAAATTTTGGTGTCACCAAGAAAAAAATCTAAGTGGACATCCCTGAATTAAGCATTGCTTAGATTTATGTCTAAAGTTCACCCTTCTCACGGTAGATTATCACGTAAGTTGCATGTGGCACATTGTGCATCTGGAAGGTCTACATTTTTGCCAGTGTCGCAAGGACCGGATGTCAGAATATGACATGTGTCCATGCAAACTGATTATAGGTGGCCTCTGCTTTTGTGTTCTTGGATGAAGGTTAATTAATTGAACATATCATGTAAGGGAGTTGTTATCCACATATACTGGGGTTGTGGCCATTGTAATCTTGCATTGGAGCTTCACTATACCACATAAATAATGTATGTTATTGCAGACCAAAATCTTATTACCATCTTGCATCATGCACTCTTATGTTCCAACAGGCTCAAAATCATTCAAAAAACAAATAAAAGGAAAAGAAGTTCAATGACCAAAAATAATACCAAAATTGATTCAGTATGCCTTTCTCTACTCCCTCAATCAAGGATTTGTTCATTTATTTTACAGGACATAACTTTACTTGTATGATAATAATTGCATCTCAACTATAGCCAACAATATTCGATAAAATGCCAATTCAGATACTTAACATTCTTCTGTCTACAGTGAATTTATTTTAGTGATGGCCACTAAAACGAGCACTCATCTTTTTTTTTTTTGATAATTAGTACTCATCTTCTTTTTGACATCCTTGATTAGCTAATCTTGGCAGAATCTTTGTTAGGGAGATACAACTTTAATCTGAAAATGTTCATCACATCATCTAAGCCTTGTCCCAACAATATGGGTCAGCTACGTGAATCCTGCTCCTCCATTCTGTTGTGTTCAGTGCCACATTCATTGTTAAATTATGGGCCCTCAAATCATTTCTCATTACTTCAACCCATGTCCTTTTTGGTCTGCCCCTAGCTCTGTTAGCCCCTTCAACTTGTAACAGAACACCTCTTATTACCAGTGATGTAGATGGTCTTCTTTGCACAAACCCACGGTTTTTTTTTTTGGAAAAAGGTAAGGTAAATTTATTCAAACGGAAAAGGAGAAAGTACAAGTGTACAACAAAACCCAGGCCAAAAAGACGGCCTGAGTGCAAATCAGATTACAGACTCCACCAAGGCCCTGTTTGATGATTAAGTACTTGTTTCACAAGTACTTATTTTAACAACCACTTAAGGCTGTTTAGTAACCCACTTTTTAAATCACTTATTATGTTTTTAAGCACTTATTGGGGTGAGAATATTTGGTAAACTACTTTCCCCATAAGTGCTTATATTGACACAACGACAAATTTAACCCTCACTTCACTCATTTTCAACATCATTATTTGCATAAAAAATAATTCAAACAATGTCAAAAAATATACAAGAATGAAGAAAAAACAGGAGAGTTTCAAGTAAAAAAAAACCCCAAGAAGAATGATACATTTCTTCATCAGAAACAGCCCGTATTTGTCACTAATTTACCCACTTTTTTGAATTTTTCGGGGGTATCTTCTTTCCCTGTTTCTCGGTTCCAATTAAAGTTTTCCGAGCTTCAATTCCAGTTTCTCTTTCTGGGTACCAGTATTTCATCCCCTTTTATTTCATCTACTTTCGACAATAGAATAGTATTCCAATTGAACAGTTTCTTCAGTCACCAAAAAAGAAAAGATGGGAGTTGTTCTCTTCTCGATGCATGGAGTACAGAGATGGAACCCACCTCACACTCACCGCATTCTCTTTTACGGAGTGCCGCTGCACACATGGAGTACAGAGACGTCCAAAGCTATAGGAAATGCAGTACGCAAATTCAGAAATTTTGATGATAGGAACCGCCACTGGGAGCAGTTACAGTTCGCCAGAATCCTGATTGAAACTGACAATGCGATGAAGATTCCAACGCTGCTGGACCTGTTCTAAATAGAAGAAAAGTTTCAACTAAGAATTGCAGTAGCAGGGAGAGAAATAGGGGAGAGATCGAGAGAGGAACTTAAGAAGAGGAGCCAAGATTTGGCGACTAGAAGAAAAGAAAGACGAAAGGTTTTCAATGGCAAAGTTGGTTGGCAGGGAGGTGAGGTAGATGAAGGGACAGAGCAAGGGAGGGGCTGAAGGAAGATGACGAAGCTGAAGCTGTGAAGCATCAGACTGGGGAGTGGGGACAAGTCAGGGAAGAAGATTATGAACAGTGCTTTTTGGGCGCGGGGGTATTTTAGGCATTATAAAAATTTATTAGGGACTGGTTCGTCCTATTTTTTTGGAGTACTTCTTCAAGAAGTACTTAAAAAAAAGCCAACTTGAAGTCACTTTTTCAAACAAGTACTTTAAAAAAAGTACTTCCCCACTTTTTTACCAAACACCCATAAGTACTTAAAAACCACTTAATGTGTGGTCCCATGTTTTAAAAGAAGTACTTGTTAAAAGAAGTACTTCTTTTAAGTGTTCTCAAACAGGGCCCAAGACTGAGAACAAAATAAGAGACAGAATCTGATGCTTAAAATCCTCAGTAACCGACACCCAAGAGATCAGCTTGCCCACAGCTCTCTGCACTAATTCTTCAGGACTTTTAGCTCTATAACAGAAAATTCTATTATTCCTCTCAGCCCAAATAGACCACAAAACAGCTGCAGGAATGGTCCTTGATGAGATGCTGCTCACCTCGGAAGCCCCTTCGAGGGTGGCTTAACCTCCTGAAACAGAAAGGGTGGAAGAACGGGGATGGGAGGAAGAAGATAACACAGAGAGAGAGAGAGAGAGATAGTAAAGAGATATTCATTCACACCACTTGTTACATGATCAGGGCCTTGTATAGCTGGCCTAACGACTCAATCATGAAGAAAATATCTTCTTGTGGCAGTGTAACTAACTCTGGAAAAGGCTCTGCCAGTGTGGCATGCTAGCCTCTCTGTCTTCTAGTGAAATGCTCATCGGTGGGAGTCTGCTCCGCACCTGCTGTTGGGTTCGAAGGGGGTGTTTGGGCTCCAACAGTCCTCCACACTAATTTTCCTTTCTTGTTTAGGCCTTTAAATCTCCAACAGCACAGCAGGTCCTTGACTGATCTTGGCATCACTCAATTAATACCCAGAGCTTTCAGGAAATGTCCCCACACCAGGAGGAAGCCGGGCAATGAATGCATAGGTGATCTGTTGTTTCTGGGAGAGAACCACACAGACCACAAGAGGATCCGGAATCTTAATGCCACGCCTCTCCAGGTTAGCTCTAGTCAAACATTTATCAAGAGCCATTGTCCAAACAAGAAAGTTAGACTTGGAGGGGCTTGTTGAATTCCAATTCTGATTGGCAGGAAAATCTGAAGGACCTGAACTGTTCAGCTTGAGGGCCAAGGACTTAACAGAGAAACAACCATCTGAATTCCATTTCCAGCTCCATTCATCCTCCAAATTTATATCTATCCTCTGATTTTGAAGCAGCCCCAGCAGCTCCACAGTCTCTTCCAGCTCCCAATCAAACAAGCTTCTCCTTGAAGGGTGGTCTAAATAATGGTTCCTCCAGAATAGTTATAACTCTCAGCCACTGAAGAGTCTTGGTTAACAACACATTGGGTCCAAATAATGGTTCCACCAAATGGGCCATCCAAGCACCAACGGTCCTTCCAGAACTTTATTCTATCTCCTTTGCCAACCTTAAGACTGAATAGGAATTCTGTTTTTTGAGTTCAGATGTAATTCTTTTCGTTCTTTTCCGGTGTCTGTCGACATCCTTGTGGCATTAAGATGGTTTAGCTCCCCCCTTGTAGTTTTTTTTTTTTTTTTTTTTTTTTTTTTTTTTTTTTTTTTCTGTTGATGAAATTCCTGTTATTGATCAGAAAAAAAGGGGGAAAATCCCCTCTCAGGAGCGGGAGGACATCACCCATTTCTGCTCCCAGTTTATCTGGGGTCCTGGGAGCGGGAGGACAGTATACAGACTTAACTGCTGTCATTTTCTGCACTCAGCGGCTGCTGTAAGATTCAAACCTCCATTGTTACATTTATCAGCATTAGATTTTACCATTGCACCAAGAAATGGCCCCCGAGACATGTAGAAGGTCTAAAAGACAAACCCCTTGGCTTAACATGAGATCTCCTAAAAAAAAAAAACTAAAACCAATGCATTGAAGGGTAAAAGTAAAAACAAGAGCCTGCTAATTTTGTTGATCACTGCCTTGAGAGATTTTGTGATGTAGGATGGGGTAGGGGTCCTACAAATTTCAAATCTGGTGGACAGCTTTGCAGGGTGAAGGTGCTTTGGCTGATTGAGGATGAAGAATATGGAATAAAAGGTAGGGAAGGGTAGGGAAAGCTTTATAAACCTTGTATAGGTTTCCCTACTTTTCCCTTCCTTTCCCTACTTTTTCCTTCAAACCAAACATAGCCTTAGGGTAAACAACAGAGAAATAGATTGCTTAGAAGAAACAAGTGAGAGAAGAAAATAATGAGAAAATTACTGGCAGCAACCAAAAATCACTAAATCAAACTTTATTTCATCAAACCAACTCTTTTTATATTGCAATTACAATGACTATTTACAGACAACTTATGAACTTGAATGTCCCTTCACAGACTCTGATTTGGATTAAGAAACTGACACAAATCAACTTCTAGTTGCTTTAGAACTAAGAAAAATCCAATAGTAACCCTTAATAACACTTTCTTATTCCTGCTATAACTAACTTAAAGTGAAGACAGCAGAAATTACTAAAAATAGTAAATAGATGTTTTACTATAAATAGTAATTATGGGATTCCTATAATATAAACAGAAAATCCTGAAAGTTACCATACGTAGTATTTTTTAAATAGCTACAAATTTCTAGAAAAATTAAAACCATATTCTTAAGACAACTACAACTAGAAAATAAATTTTAAATATTCAAAAAATACCAATATCCTACCACCCAAAAATTTTGAAATTGGTGAAGGAATGCGAAACTAATTTATATCTACCATTCTACATTATTTTGTCATTTTTTCCCTAGAGAAATCTTGCATTTACAGTCAAAAGGTGGCAATGGAAATCAATCTCCATAAAGGCACAAACTCTGACAATTACCCAAGTCACCATACAACCAGCATTGAAGAACTTCCATCAGGCTACTTGGCGTGACCAATGATACATACATAACAGCAAAGAGCTCTAGTTTCTAACCTGCACTTTTAATAGGCTTGAAGACCAAATTCCTATGTTAGGGGACCAGATCCCTTCAAAGGATAACCCATTAATCTACCAAAACAATCTTGAAATTTAGAAACCTTACTAAACAGATTTTTAAGGGTCTCTACAGCTACAGGATAATCAATAAATCATGGTTAAGCCATCAATATACAAACACCTTATCTAGAAGAAAAGGAAGCAAGTAGATTTATCAAAAACATGGCAAATATCTCTTTATAACTATCAGAGTTTATATAACAAATGCTACATGCAAATAAAGGCAAATCTGATGTAGTCAAATGTTTTTGCAGGAAATAGCATATATTATGGGATCTTAAAAAATGAGTAACAGAGAAGTTTGGGGCAAGCAATGGTGGGAAGACTTACATGTGCAAGTTATTCAAATAAAGAAATTATTTTGAGTTCATCAGCATCCCAACAATTTAATTGACCTGCTGCAATCTTCAGACGATCAAATGAAAACTGTATTTTGTGTCTTTCTTCAAGTGTATTGCCCATTTCATTTGAAGACTGCATTAACTATATAGAATAAAATAGTCAATGACTTTACTCATTGTATTTGACATCAATTGATAATTAAAGAACATAGCAATCCTTCAAGGTTCTCGATTCATCATTCCCATACTATTATGGTGTATATACCTGGATAATAAGTTTTTTGAATCAGTAACTGTGCTTTTCTTTAATTAATAGAGAGCAGATGAGAACCATAGATTCCAATTTAACTTGCAAGAGTAAGACAGCAATTCAATGAAGACAGTGGCTGACTACAACAAAAGAATAGATTGTAAACAGTTACAAGTTCAGTTTTTCAAATGGCCCAGGCATCCCCAATTCCAAGTCACTCTTTTTGATTCCCATCCTTGCTGGATTATCTGCCAAGCTCTTGGCAGACCTGCAAATCCAGATGAACAGGCAATTCAGGTTGGAAGGTACAACTATTTCTTCTCTAAACAAAGATCAAAGAAATCAAGGTCCCTCAGCTTTTGATTGCAACCAACCTATTACCAATTGATGGTCTCTCTCAACAAAATCCTGTTCCAGCCAATGTTCTTCACAAGTTCCAGTCCTTGTAGTGGAGCTAGAATTCAACCCTTAACAAGTTACCAACCCCAGCTGGGCTTGAATAACTCATTAAAATGTTACCATCATGACCTCTTACCTTTTCCACTACACCTGCTTGTACCCGGTTCCAAAGAAAACTACCATCAAAACGAAGCTCAATGTGTCTTTGTGCAGATGCTGTCCATGGTTCAGATATTGCTCGTCTTGGAGTAAAGCTAGCACAGTACTCCAGCCTCTCACTACCAAATCAACTGGAATTAAATTCATCTTTAGTGTTTCACCCAGTGTGCAACACAGATCATGCAAAGGTCAATAATGCTTCTATATGTTGACTTTTGTTTTAAAAAAATCTGGAATTCCATTCACACCAAATATAGCACAAAACGGTTGCCCTCCTGCAATGCTGAAAACTTCCCTCTTCTAGTGTAATAGGGAAGTAATGAAGAGATTGATAAAATAGCTTCAAACCTTTGTTATGAAAGGACACTTAAGAAGGAGATTACTTGCACAATCTCCACTCTTCAAGCAAAGAAGCACATATTGGAAGTGTAAGTACATGTAGTTTACCATTGGACTGATTACAGTGAGGATCTTGATAGCACAAAGGTAATCACGATACGAGCTGTGCTGAACATTACATTTGCCGTTAAAATCACTGAAGGCTTTGCGACCATTCCCGATACGGGATCTTGGGCAAGCATAAAAGGGGATGGAATTAGAAACGTACAAGAATCTTAGCGGATATGAAAACCCTAATCCTAAAAGATCCTCATCGGACATGTGGAAAAACCTCGATAGACACTTCAGCAAATCAAGAATACCTTCCTGAAAGAGGAAGAGCACTTCCTCAACACCTCCTTTTAACCCTAATAACACAACTATAAAAGGAGGATGACCCTCATAGATAGGAGGGAGAACAACTCTCCCCCACGTTAGACACTACCATATAACCCTAACCCTAGGGTTTCTTAGGGATCTCTCTCCTCCTCCCGACCGTTCTATGCAACCATTCCTCTCCATCTTCTTCTCTCTTCACGGCCATTCCCCCTGGACCTTCGGAAACTTGACCAACCGATAGAATTCCATGGTTATTACAAGGAGAAAGGGACCATTTAATCATCCATTGAAGAGAGTCACATGTATTGATTATCTTCCAAAAGGCTTCCCAAAATAATACTTTGACCCCAAAGAGTTCTCATCGGAAATGGGTTGAACAATCAGCAAAGAACTTTAGAGAAGGAAGAACAAGAAAACAAGCCTAGGGTATTAGGGGTCCAAAATTGCACCAGAAAACAACCCCAAAGAGTTCTCATAGCTTCAATATACCATAATGCATGACAGGAAAAAAATAATAATAACTGTATTTAATTGCACCAGAAGAGTATTACAATAAACCAGTCTGATGATCTGATCTCATTCATCATGTTTGAAATTAGTGATCAATAATTAAAATCTCGATAAGAAGACATTTTAGACAACAAAACCCATGGGAAACTGGAATTAGTGTTCAAAAGCCAACTGGTTTCACCAGAACTATGCTCCATGCAAATGGGTTATATTTGTACCAGTAGCATGTGAAATAACCTGGTATTGTGTATAGCATGTCAATAATCCATTAGGTAGCTTCATGCCAATTTCCCCTGCAACTAGTTGTAAGACAGTGGGTTCATAAAAGTACATTAACCCACTTGAACCAGCAAGAACCCGAGTCAAACCGGACCGGACCAGATCTATTGATCAATTGATTAAGAGCCATTTGCATCAATTTAGTGTTAGAACATTCTAGAATATCAATTACAGGGCAATAGAATGCGGGAGATCCAAAAACATTATAAATAGGGGCCCCATAGCCAAATGGGGGCCCATGAATAACAACACAATAGATCCATATTATGGAAAAGAAACCCATATTCTCTCTCCTTTCTAATCTCTCTCTCCTCACTCTCCTGCCTGTAAGTCGATGGGATAAGGTTAGTCTGAAAGCTCTAAAGTTGGGATTTGAACACTAAGGATCAAAGAGAGCACAAAGGGATCTGATCCGTAAGCTCAGGATTGGGGAATTAGGAAAAAAGGTCCTTAGCACAGAGCTCGGTTCCCTATTTATAGGAAAGAATCACCACGCAACGGGATGAAACCCTTCCAGAATCTTCTATGCCCTTAATAAACAAGCGGGAGGCAAATCCCATGTTTTTCTCAAGGGCACATGTCCTGGGGACTGCAAGACGGTTATACCATGCTCTTGGGAACCATATGGAAAGTACCAGGTACCATTATGTACAATTTCCCTAACCTCTGCCACATGTCATGATCCAAAGTTCCAAACGCCCCATGGCATCTTGGACCTCATGCTAAGCAGGCTCTCTAAGGACATACTGAGGTGAGGTATTCCTTACACGAGATCACACACTACTTGGAAGATAAAATTGTGAGACCTTAGATCTCTCTAGTCTCATCCTTCCTTACACGAGAACGCACACTCATCCTACCTTAGTGATATCGCACTTGCCTTATCTTATTGATGAAATGTCATGATCTCTAACAATCATTGTGAGATCCCCATAAGGAGCTTGCTAGGTTTAGTGAGATCGCTTACATTCTGTATTCATGAGATGTTATTTCGAGCCTGCTATTGCCATATGCTTATCCACTCTCACACTGCCACTTACCCTACGAATTTCCCTTCTCTCTCCTTCGATCTCGCACTACCATTGCCTTGGACCTTTGGAGGCTTGACCTTCACTTGGGCACACTGCCACTTACCCTACGAATTTCCCCTCTCTCCTTCGATCTCAACTACTATTGCCTTGGACCTTCGGAGGCTTGGCCTTCACTTGGGCACAGTTAATCAGCTTACACTAGTAATAATAAATAAATTTAAGCTGCTAAAGGTGCAAAGATTCAAAGACTGGCTTAGGAGAATATATTTAGTGGGTCACTTGCCTTTATCATTACATTGATTAATAATAGCATATTGGCTACTTTCCAAGTCTAAAGCTAGAAATCAAAAAGATGATGGTAATTGCCTATTCAAGTCATCCACATTGAAGAAAAGCAAGGCCATTGTTTAAACAACTTCATGATTGAACTTATCAAAAAAAAACTAAGAAATAAAACATCTTAATGCTTGAAGAACAGCAGCATACCTGTAAGCGCATTTTCTGCAAAATCCGTGTAATCTCTCCCTTACATGAAGAGAGTCTTCGTCGGATTTTTATATCCTGGTGCATGTACAAGAGGATGGACACAACTGCAACAATCCTACTTGATAGATCAAGTGTATGTTGGGTATCATGATTACAAGCAAGTGATGAATTATCTTCACCAATTGATGATCCCATCAAATCCAAAACAAGATTTAAGAGCTTATCACTTCTATCAAACAGAAAAAAGCATGGCACGAGATAATACTGGCATATGCTAATCTGATTGGAGTCTGTAACTTCATCACCATTTTCTGGAATGTACTGCATGAAATTTGAAAATAGAAGAATCAAATAAGCAAATTCGAAGCATATTCTATTTTTGCCAATATATGACCAAAAAGAAACATATGGACAAGAAACAGAGAAAAGATGAGATGCCAAGAGCAATTGATTTAAGAGAAAAATCCCATATGTTCAATCCAGAACATCCATATTTATCAAAAGAAAATAATAAATTAGTTAATCATCACAAGGAAGAGTACAACTATATAAGAAGAAAATCAGCATGTGACAATATTAGGCAGTAGAATTGAGAAGTACAAAGTACGCATTCTGAAATGGTAAAGGTTAAAGAATGGTAAAGCAACTTGTTGTAATGCAGGAAGGCCCATAAATCCAACCCAATGCCCAAAGACTAGCTATCTACTTTAGGCCATAGGCATTCCCTTTTGGGGCCAATCCCTCACTTAAGGCCAATGAGCCTCATGGCTCAGCCCATGTTTGAGCCAATCTTAGAATCAAAACAGAAGATACAAGTTTTTTTTTTTTTTTTGATAAATAAGATACAAGAATATTTGTAGAATGAACTAGAATATATTTTGTGTTGTGCTTTTATTTATTCATCTTGCCTGCAACAGATGTGGACAACTGGATTGAGAGTATTATTTGGGAGGCTTTTGTGCAACTCTCCTCAGAACCATAATGACATGCGAGGGGAAGGGGGGGGGGGGCTAGGAATATAGAGAAAAGGTTGGAGGAGAGGGATCCAGCAGGACAAGACACTGATAGGACAGACATATTACTGGATGGATTGAGATTGAACCTGGAAGAGCTCAGAGGAAGGGAGCAACAATCAAGAACTAGAAAAAGGAGAATGGAGGCGGAATTACTAACCTCCTCAGTGTGCAAAATTAAAGAAACATATTTGAAAAGAATACACAAAGGAGTGGCTTGAATTGAATAAAGAAAAGAAGGATGACAAGGGAATAGCAAGAAATGAAACTAATAAGTTGAGACATTAGGAGTTTAGATTGCAGGAAGAAAAGAAGAACCATAAGGCTCAGTTTGGAAGGAGTCCAAATACAAATATGTAGAACGCAAAACCTTGTATTTTGTATTATTTTGTATGTGTAGTGAGAATGGGTTGAATGGGCCTTAGTGTTCTTTATTTCTTTTAAGTAGTATTAAAAGTTATGTTTCTTAGTTATAGGCCTTCTTTTATTTTCTTTAATTATTTCTTTAGTGCTGGCCGCCCCATTAAGGGCATCCAAGTAATTGTACTCAGACTTAGAATTATTAATAAAAGTGGTGAAAGGGGGCTAGAGAGGTTCAAATTCTTCTTTTCTCTCTTCCCTTCTTTTCTTCTTCCACAACTTATTGCTGAAACTTCTTTCTCTTTCTCTTTTCTTGCATTATCTGAATTATTGTAGGTGTAATTTTCAACTTGGTATCAGAGCGGGTTCTCACTTTCGACCTTTTCTCCTTTCTTTGCCCATACATAGTGTGTATGGAGAACTGATCGGTTGATCAATAAACAACTTATGCAGCCCAGTTAGGAAGGTTTTTGGAGAGTTTTGTGGAGGTTTTTCATCCTTAGTTGAAGCCTAGGGCAGGTTCTTGGAGATTTTTTCCAAAAAACCCTAGATAACTAGAGAAACCTTGTTATAGGTCGTAGAGATAGTTTGAACCAGGTGCTTGGGGATCAGAGGTAATCCTTTTGATTTCTATTAGGGGCGGTTTTGGTTGGATTGGATTCTGGAACCTCTGGAAGGGGTGGTTAAAGTTTCTCTCTTTCTCCCCATCCCGTAGAACTCTATGAAACCCTAATTTTGGGTGGGTTGAAAGGTTCTTCTTTGCTTAGAACACTAAATCTAGCCTAGTAAAGCCCTAATTTGATTTTCGTTTGCATCCGTTTACTCAATGGAGTAAATTAGAGGAGAGACCAAATATTCCGTAGATTTCGAGTTTGGACATGGGGGGTCAGTGGAGAATCTTTTGGGGGCTATGACTACTGTGAAGCTAGATGGGACCAACTATTTAGTTTGGTCTCAATCTATTAAGATACATGTGTGTAGTAGAGGAAAATGGGGTTATATTACCAGGAGCAAGAAGAAACTAGAGGAGGAGGATCCTACCTAAGAAAGGTGGATGCAAGAAAACTACACGGTAGTGGGTTGGTTAGTGAATTCTATGCAACCACAAATTAGTCAGCATTACCTGTGGATGAAACTACAAAAGAAGCGTGGGATAGTGTCACAGAGACCTATTCCCAAAAGCTTAATGTTGCTCGGGCCTACAAACTGAAGCATGATGTCAATAATCTTAAATAGGGGGAGAAGCCCTTAGCAGTCTACTTCTCTATGATGAAATCTTTGGCAAGAGATTGATCTGATGGAGACTGTTGTTTGGTGTTGCACAAAGGATGCAGAAACATATAGGAGGTTGGTGGAGAAAAATCGGGTCTTTGGATTCCTCACCGGACTCAACTCGGAGTGTGATATTGTGAGGCATAATGTTTTAGCAAAGGATGAGGTGACTTTGTCTCAGGCATATGTTATGGTGAGCAGTGAGGAGAGCAGAAGACAGGTTCAGTCCGTTGAGCCGCAGGTTGATCACTATGTTAATGCTGGGATGAAGCTGAAGGTTAGCACTGGAAGAAAGATGTTATCTGCGAATACTGCAAGAAGCCTAAACACACTAAAGACACATGTTGGAAGTTGCATATAGAGCTCGTTCCTGCCAGAGTCAAGAAAGAAAATGGTGGAAAAAGGGTTGAAACTGGAAAAGGTGGAAATGCAAATGTAGCCACCTCTTCACAAGGTAAACAAGGATAAGGTGGAGAGAAGTCAATGGGAGAACAACTTACAGCCGCCAGGGTTGAATATGAGAAGTATGCCAAATCATCAATCACTTGGAGTCCACTGCTACAACCCCTTTAGAGACTATTCCTTCCTCTACATATGCTCACTTAGGTATTTGTGCCATTACACATCATGCTTTTGTCTCAGGTACTCGTAAAACCCCTTGGATAATTGATTCTGTGCTTCTGACCATATGACTAGTGTTTCACAATTATTAACCTCTTACCAACTTCTTTCTAGCTGAGACAAGATATCCCTTGCTGATGGCTCCCTAGCCCCTATCACAGGAAAGGGAGACATTAAGACCTCTAATGCCTTGACCTTATCACTTGTTCTTCATGTACCTAAACTTAATACCATTTTGCTTTCAATTAGTAATTTGACTAAATCCATGAATTGCAGTGACCTTTTTTTTTCCTTTATATTGTGTTTTTCAGGACATGGAATCTAAGAAGGTGATTGGGAGTGGCCATGAAGCAAATGAGATCTATCTATTAAATATGCCTGAGCAGAGCCAAGTACAACCTAAGAGAATTGCATTTGTTTTAGAGTCCACTAGTCGTATTATGTTATGTCATAATCATTTGGGTCATTTGCCCTTTTCTTCATTGAGTCAGTTGTTTCCAAAGTTATTTAAAGGAATTAGTCTATTGAGTCTTCACTGCGAGTCATGTGAGTTATCAAAGCATTGTCAGAACACTTATCCTTCAAGTAATAAAAGATCAACTATTCCTTTTAATATTGTTTACTCTGATGTTTGGGGGCTTACCATTCAACATGTATGGGTGGGTATAAATATTTCATCATGTTTATTGATGATTTTTCACGATATACTTGATTTACCTTATGCACTCTCGGGCTGAAGTGCCTAAACTTGTGCAACAATTCCATGAACACATACTCAGTTTAATACCTGCATCAAAATATTCCGTTCAGACAATGCTAAGGAATATTTTGAGAATGACCTTACCTCCTATTTTGAGAGGTTTGGGGTTATTAATCAGAGTTCTTGTGCCCGCACTCCACAATAAGGGTAGAGGTAGGTTTAGGGTGAGTTGGGAGGTGGTGACTAGGAGCAAAAACCTTACCTTCTTACGGTCTATCATCGTCTACAATGGGGAGGACCGTTGAGGGCAAGACACAGCAGTGGAAAATTGGCAGACAAGGTGATTTACAGTGGATGCGCCGTCGAGATCGAACAAAACCATGCTCCTTGAGTCACTCCACAAAGAGACCAAACCCCATATTCGAAAGAGAGAAATGTGAAGAAGAGGTTGGGGTGGACGAAGGATGGGTTCGCTGCAGAGAGAATAGTGAAGACTCGGACGATAGCTCAGTCGTTGGTACCAGTATTGGTAGTGTGAAGGATGATGGAGGTTATGATGAAGGTGATATGGGTGGAGAACATTGTAGGCCTATTTCAGGGGGGCATAGAAGAGGAGAGGAGGAGCATTCCAGACAACCAGGAAGGCTCAACGGGCAATGAGAGGAGTCTCGGGAGTCTTGAAGTAAGTGGGGCGACAAAGTCTTACGAGAATAACCCATCTCCAAGGCTTCAGATTGTGCAAGGCGCAAATAAAGGGGTAAATCAGAAGAACCTGAAGCGAAGCAGGAATACATCAACAAGGGGTAAACAACGGGGAGAGAGGACAGATTGCCAAATTGTCCAAAGGACATAAATGCTTCCCCAACCAACCCACTGAGACAAATAATTACCAACTCTCAAAACTAGTAAGGGAGGCTGAGAATTTTTGCCCGGATCCAACTCCATCCCTCTAGACAAACCCAGGTAACCGAGTAAATTCAGCTTTTGTTACTGACACGTTTTCTGTGTCCAATGTTCTAGATTCTGATCCCATTCCAAGTTCTACAACCCTAGTATGTCAAGCCAACAAAGGCGGTGGGTGCTCTAAGATTGCGGAGAGGGTGATGAAGGACCAGGGGGGGGAGTTGATACTTGATAGGGAGGGTAATAGGAATGAGAAGGTGTGGGAAATTATTGAAGGAATATTTAGTGAAGTGGAACAAAATGTGTTGTGGATGAAGGATATGAATGAGATCATAGGGGAGGGGTCAATTGAGAGGAGAGTGGGAAAGGAGAGGAGAAATGAAAGGGAAATGGCAAAAAGGACATTAGTGGAGGGAGACAGGAAAAAGGATTCAATAGCAGAATTTGTAGGG